TCCATTTTTTGTCCTTTTAGAAGTTGGAAGTTAGGAAATACTGCTTTTGAGGTTCAACTTCTTTAATCTCTGCATTGGAAAATATTTGGGCCATGAGAACTAGGGGAAAGGAGTTTGAATGTGTATAATTTTTTTCTAGTGAATGTATTTTAACCACAGTGTCCTAAACTGAGAGAGAGCACTCACAAACTTTGTGGTTGGGAGAGTGGTTTTACATGTCTGTGTATTCATGACTTTGGGAGTGGGGTGGATCATTGAAGAGAGAATTGTTCAGAAAGTCCTGAAGTTTAAAAAACACTTTTGACCAGCTTTGGCTTCGGAGGGTGGGGCTGCTTGTAGAACTGGAAAATGAACAACTTTATCAAGCAATAGCAATGAGTGGGTCCCCTCAACAAGGTTCCAGGACCTGGAACACTTCAACAGAAGAAAATGCTGAAGCAGCTTGCACAGTTGCTTCACAAACTTCCATGAGGCTGATTCTGGCTTCAAGATGGAGCATTGGAGTTCTCTTTTTTGTTTGTTTGTTTGTTTTTTTAAAGAACCTGCATTTGAGCTTTGTGTTTTGTTTTTGTTTTCTACTGGGGGGCTGCATGGGAAAGAGCTTCTGAACTCTTTCCTTTGTGAACTCCCATTGTGTTCCTGTAAAGTCCTTTTTCTTTCCTAATGTTGTAAGTTACATTTTCATTAAGCCCCATCACATCTTCTTTACTGTAAAAATATTAAAAGGCTGTTTCCAAGTGGGACAGCTAATGAAGTTCTAATTATTGCAGACATATTTTTGAGATGTAAAAAAAAAATTAAAATTAAATGATAAGTCTTAGAGGCGAGTGAGGAATAAAATGGATGTAAACATTTACATGGGATGCATTAGAATTCTGCTGTGTGTATTGTCTTTTGGTTGAAACAAATTATGAACAGTGACTAATAATAAAAAGTCAATACTCAATGATTTAAAATTTGCTTCCTTGCTTCTTACAAGTGGATTAGAAGCCTTGGATGAATTTTATTCTAGAGCTTTGAACTAAACTCATTAATGTATTAATGTTACTTTTGCACAGAAATCTTACCAAGAAAGGAATCTGAACAACTTAAAAACTTTTAGGTGTTACAGTGAAAAAGTCTTAAGTTCAATCAGACATTTTAACTAAAATATGATTACTTCCATGCTTATCTTTTCTACATAGTTGACTTCACAAACAAGGCAAAGATGGGTTTTAGTTAGTTATAAGCCTCTTTTTGTGAATTATTCAAGCATATCTGTGCCTGGAAAAAGGAAGGCTTGACCAGCCAAAATGAGTTCTATTTCATGCTCTATTTTATAAGAACTCTTTTTTATATAAATAATTTTTTGGAGATTGGAACCTTTAGGTTTTCTGTTACTTTGATGATCTCTGGACAGTCCCTTTGAGAAGGGAGAGGCTGTGATAATCCCCTGATTAAAAAGGAGAAGGGTGTAGGCCTTAGCAATTATCTAGTTTAGGCAGAAGTGCCTTTTGGCACTGTTTTATAAGCAACATTTCTATAATCTTTCCTTATATATGGCTTAGTTAAAATTCATCTTTGTTTCTGATACTAAATTTAGTTGTCACCTTCATCTAATTGCATTAGATGAAACTATAATAAAAGCTACAATAGAAAAGTTTAGCCAGTAATAAATTTCAGATCTGTACTTGACAATACAAGAAATAGTATTCAGATTTGACCTTCAATCCAGAGGGACTAAATTTTTATCAATTTTAAGGGTTCTCTATACTATGTCCTCCCCTCCCCCCAGTTGTCCCTATATTTGGACAAATGTTCAAGGAAAAATTTCTTCAAATCTTGAAACAAGGTAAATACTGCCTATTTATTTAGAACCAAAATAAATGTCCAAAGCTGCTCAACCTATGATAGCACAAGGGATTTAGGCTTAAAGATGACTTTGTGGATCACTGAAGGAGTAAGAATTAGATATATAAGTAAATATGTCTTTTATGGTTCCTCTTCCAAAATCTGATAGACATGAGCTTTCCTTCTCCAGACTATCTTCCCATTTTGTAGTGAAGATTGGAAAAGCTCCTGGCATGAAGAGAGAGAGAGTGTGTGTGTGTTGTGTGTGTGTGTGTACATTCTAGGGAGGTAGAGAGGGTATACACAGCTGCTATAGGAAGGATACAGAAAGGAAAGACTCTAATGACTTCTCTGTTTCTTGGCTTGATCCAAATAGTGATTTTTGTAATGATGAACCTGCAGTGAGGGCAGATGGATTTTTACACAAAAAAACTCCCAGAGGAATTTATTTTTAGGGTTAGTCTCAGCTGTTTACCATTTCCAGAAATTATAGTTACATAACCCTTGGCATACATAATACACACTGCCTTGAATTGGGGGAGAGCATGAATATGTGACCTTTGAAACAAAGTATGCAATGTTAATGGCAGCACATAATGTGAAAAGAAAACTGGACTGGTTGTCAGTACTTAATTGGATCTTAAATCATGGGGACCATTAAAGGTAGCAGCATCATAAATTATCCCCTGAAACATTTGGGCTGGTGGCTTTCTCACCATCCTCCTCCCCCTTTTGAAAGAGGTACTACTGTTGCCAGTAGGAAGAAGTAATACATAAATAACTTTTAGCATATGCTTTTATTCTGAACTGATGCTTTAGCTCACTATTCCATTAATTAACACAACAACCTGGCTGCAAGGGTCAAATTTCGTTTTGACATTTAAAATATCTCCAAATGGATACATATCTCAGAGATGGATACAGACTGCCCTTTTAGATCTCAGACTCTCTTGTACTAAGCCTACAATTAATGTATTCTAGACATGCAGTTGGTCTGGACTAGGTAAGCTAAAGCAACGGATAATGGGTGATACTATCTTTACCAATTCTTCAAAGGTCAAGAAATTATTGGTCTCGGCTGTTTAATTCCTTACAAGTTACTTGAACGTACAATACCTGTGTAAGAGGGGAAGGCTTCCTAGGAAAATTTAGGAGGAATTTACAGGGAGAGTATTTTTTGACTAATTGAGTGAATCTTACATTTAAAATTTCAGAATATAGTGGCTACTGTGAGTCCCTACTAGATGTTAGGGACTTTGTATGCATTATTCACTATATTTTCTTAACTACCAGGCAGATATTAATCTCTACTTCACAGTTTAAGAACCCAAGCCTTAGATCAAGTAACTTGCACAAGGAGGTAAATCTATAAAGGGTAGAGCTGAGATTTGGAAGCAGGCTGTCTGATTCCAAGTTTGGCCCACTGGCCACAAAACTACCATCACTGCAAGAACTTAAAAAATATGCTAACTTTTTAAAGTTTTTCTGACTTAGCCTTGCAAATAAGACCATTTTACTATATTAAATCTGCTCGAAGCGGAGAACAGAATTCTGATCACTTTTGCTACATGAGGAGAAAGGGAATTAAAATACAGCTGGGAGGTGAGCTGACGTTCTGTAGGAGGTTAGGTTGAACCTGCTGAAGAAGGTCGTGGGCACATACCTCTAATAAGGAAGAGAAAGGGCCTCACTAAGGTGAGTATCCTGAATGGCTTTGCAAGTGAGGCCGACAGGCCAGTTTTGAAGTAGAAAAGAGGAAAGTGCCTGGGAGAGGGAAGTGACAAGAGCCACCCTTGGCGGAGGGCAGCGTCCTGTCACAATTGACAGGCGCAGGCCCCACCTGCCTCTTCCTCCAGCTGGACTTCGAGGGCGGGGATAGCAGGAAATAACCCTCCCTGAGCCCCAGTCCTCCAAACCTACGGGGGCGGGCAGCCGCGGCCCCACGCCCTGCGGCGGCGGCACCAGATTGCCGCGCCCCGTCCTCGCCTCCAGCGGGCCGGGATGCGGCGCCCAGCCCCGCAGCGCCCGCGGCTACGCAGGTCCGGGGCCGCGGGGCGGGGCCTGGGCCGCGGGGGGCGGCGCCGGCTGCCCGCGCGCGCCGCCGAGGCTCCGCGCGCCGTCGCGCCGGCCGGGCGTCCCTGAGCAGCCTGTGCCGCCGATGGGGGAGGTGGAGCCCGGGCCCGCGGGCCCGCTGGAGCCCCCGGAGCCGCCCGAAGCGCCCGCGAGCCGCCAGCCGGGAGGGATCCGGGTCCTGAAGGTGAGGCAGGCGGGCGAGCGAGCGAGCGGGCGGGCCGGGCAGGCAGCGAGGGAGGGCAGAGGCTGCCGCCGCCCCCGCCCCGCGCGGCGGCCGAAGCTGCCGGCGACCCCCGCCCAGCGTCCGTCAGTCGGCCCGCGGCCGGCCGCTGCACAGGCGGCCGGGCCGCCGGCCGCCGAGCTCGCGCCGCTCCGCCGCCGAGGCCGCGGCCGCCGCCGTCCCCACCGCTGCCCATCCCTGGCCGCGCGCCACCCGCCTCACAGGCCCACGCCTTCGGGCCGCTGCCGCCCACCGGTGCTTGGCCGCCCCGGGAGCCCGGCCGCCCTCGGCCGCGCTCGGGGCCTGGGGCCGGCTCCAGGGGTCTCCGAGGGCCGCCGGCTCCGGGCCTGGGAGCGGGGCTGGAAGTACGCAGGGCTTGCCCCCCGGACACCTGAAGACATCACCCCGGCGCGAGGATGGCGGCGGCGACTGGCCGGCGCTGCGGTGTGCTGGGGCTGCGCCGGCGGGGCGGGCGCGCTCTGCCCTGGGGGCTTGCACCCGACTCGCGGGCCGGCGCCCGGCTCCGAGACGCCGGCGGGCAAGGAGGACCCGCCCCGCCTGGGGAGAGAATCCCCGGAGGAGCTTCTTCACGGGGGCTCGCTGGGCGTGTTGCAGGCGGGAGGAGGGGCCGGGCAAAAGGGGCACTCCTGCCCGCGGGAGCCGGGCTGACGATCGGGGAGACGGTAATGGGGAGCCGTTATGCAACAGGCAGCTAGCGGGGCTTTGGGGCAGGAATGGGAGGACGAGAAAACAGATGCGGGCGAGGGAGGAAGTGGAGCCTAGAAGGTGATGACAAGAAGTTTAAACGCACAGGAATGCACAAGGTGGGGAGGGGACTTTGAGGATGGTTGAAGGGAGGGATTGTGGGAGGCCAACTGGGTGGAGTTTTCTACTAGCGTTTGAAATAGTTGCAGAGAAATTTTTCTGTAGGTCAGATATGCAAACGAGGTGTCCAGCCCTCCTGCGGGAGGAGGTGGAATGGAATTCTTTCTAGAGTTGTAGAAGAGGAATCGGCAGGATTTAGAAGTTATCAGGGAGAAAGAAGAGAGGGGGAAAAAAATTAGAAGATTTGATGTGTTTCAAAAATACTTTAAAAGACAATGGAAAAGCATAATGTTAAATACATTAAATAATAGTTGTTCATTGGGATTGAGGTTGAGTAATATTTACGTTATTAAGATTATTAGTAAGGATATCACAAAGATGGGAACACCAAAAACAATAATAGATTTGAAGGAACGAATGAATCCATGCAACAACATAAACTAGAACTCTGTAAAATATAAAACAGTTTTTTCTGCTACCATTTCTCAGTCTTAACACAGAGACTGAAAGAAATAGCTTCTTAGTTTACCTCTGACTCTGCATTAACTTTATACTGTTTATTGGACTTTATGAGTTGCAAATATAATTACCCAAAGCCTTGTAGATATTCATTTAAAAATGATATGGTCACAAAAATGAGTACTGTGAATGAATATAAACAAACATCAACTGGCCTGGCTTATCAGGGAATGGCTGGTCTGAAAGATATATAATGCCTTCAGGCCCAGAAAGTAAACTTTGGCTTTCTTGTTAACTTTTTTGTAGTGGTGAAGGAGTGAATTGTAAGAGGAAAGGAGTTGAGCAGTGAGGACCTCTGTCGAAGACAAGCTACCACTAGTTCCCTAAGTTTCCAATCTAGGGACCATTAAAAAGATTCAAGAACTTGACCTTGATTACAGTGCTGAGCTAATGCTATGGGAGGCTGACCGTCCTCACGGGCCTTTGCATTCCTTTATTGAATATGCTCAACACTTTAAATAATCCTTGCAAATAACTGGTATCTGCTATGGAGAATAGGTGCTCTGTTCCACATACAGTTCTCTTAAGTGGTTGAGTTTTGTGCCAAGTGAAACTGGAAAAGAATATATAAGTAGAGTTGAAGACTTTCTGAATTGGAAAGAAAGTCATGATCTCCCACACATTTTTCTCTGAAGATAAGTTCAAAAAGCACTTTTTATTATTTTTTGTAACTCTTTTAATAACAAATCATGAACATCGTTATTGTCAAATAATACAGATCTTCATAAAAAGGCTGGTATGACTTAACCAGTATAACTTAGCCAGACTATATCTAGCTCCATCTATATGAGGTACTGGAAAATTTCATTCAGAATATCCCCTCAGATTTATTTAGTGAATTGCTGAAAAATGGGTTATAAGTTTTCCAGATGTTGCCTACAATTTTGGGATTATTTTTATTTTTTTTTTTAACTCAGTCTATATAGAAGATATGAAGTTACAACTAATGTGGGTTAATTCCATGGGCTTCGTTTTTTTCAAGAATAATTTTTTTTATCAAAATATATGTGGTTTTTAAAAAAATTCCAGAAAATTTTTGATTAAGTGAAACATTTCTCTCCTACCCCTCCTCACTCCTTTCAAAATATTTCATAACATATGTATTTACAGAGATGAGCCTATATTGTTTTTTAGTTTCAAATACAGAAACATATCTTGTACCTAGGAGTATTCACATTTTAATAGAACTAACTAAATACGGAGAGTTACTTTACCACGCATATCTTAGTAATATGTGAGTGTTTAATTGTTTATCACCTTTGAACTGATCGTAGTCCTTATATATCATCTTTATTTTTAGAGAGTTAAAAGTGTGAAACTGAAACAGTGGGTGCCTGATTTGTGGCACAGTCTCAAGACTTTTGCTTTCTAGAGACATCTTTAAATCTTAAATATGCTCTATATGCTTGTTTGATGTGGGAGGTGATTGTAGTTGTGTTTCTTCTTAGGTAAATTTGTGATAACAGTTCTTACTTAAGAGTAAGGGAGAAAATGAAGTTTTCTCAATCTAGCAATTCCAGTGGAATGGTGATTCTGAACCTGAAAGCAGCTCAGAGGACAGTGTCATTGCCAGTACTGGCTGCTAAGAAGGCCCTTCCAGCAGTTACCTGATGTGTTAGGCGATGAGTGGATCTAGACATTCTTGAGAAGGAAACACTAGGTAATTTAGTTGTTGCTACAAGACTTGACTTTGTGTAGTACCCAGGCCTTTTAAATATAAACACCCATTGATCAGGTCTAAGAATGATATCTACTGAAGTTCTAACTTAGCAGTTTATCTTCGTAGGGCAGAGTGTATCAGATAAGACCGGGGACAGATCCTTTGAAGTAAATGATGACTAACAACATAGATGTTTTGATAACATAAAGTCCCTTAAGAAATTTATAATCCTAAGGGAAATATTATATATGTGCACTAAAAATGACTGTTAAAAATTCTCATGGAAGAAAAATTATGTATGAACTAATACAGTACTTCCTGGCATCTTTCTTGACTTTTCTAAGATTGAGAATGTCAGCGGGCCATTATTTGATCTCAGAAAGTTTTTTTTAAAGAAGCCTTTTGGTGGTTGTGTGGAATAGTGTCTGCTTGTTCTTTCCTCTTCACTGAGTGCAGAATGCAGAACTTCTTTATATAAATATTACTGTACTATATAAAATATCTTTCAGTTGGACCAGTTAATCTTTCTCAAAGGTTAAAAAATAAGGAGGATAATTATTTAGTGGCACAAATGTGATGGTCCTTGTGTTTATGCAATAAGCACTTGAAAGCTGTTTAATTCTGGGATGTTCAGCTTTGAGAAAATGTACTTGATGAGAAAAGAGAGATCTAGTTCCCACTTGTAGCAGGGCTTATACTACTTCTTTAAAGTTAGAATCAGTAATAATGCTCATGTTCTCATTGTTTGTTTGTTTGTTTGTTTTTTGGAGACAAGGTCTTGTTCTGTTGCCCTGGCTGGAATGCAGGGACATGATCATAGCTTACTTAACCTCAGACTCCTGGGCTCAAGCAGTCCTCCTGCTTCAGCCTCCTGAGTAGCTGGGACTACAGGCCTGTGCCACTATATCACTCTGGCTAATTTTTAAATATTTTTGTAGGGTTAGGGGTTCCCTATGTTACCCAGGCTGGTCTCAAACTCCTGGCCTCAAGTGATTCTCCTGCTTGGGCCTCCCAAAGCACCAGGATTAAAGTCATGAACCACCACACCTGGCGCTTCATGGTTTTGAATAACTAAACCTAAATTCCCAAGAGGTGCAAAATGATCAGTTTACCTGAGTTATCTTAAATTTAAACAGTGAAGCCATTCTCAGTCTTTTTTTTTCCTCTCATGTGAGAATACCTGCTAACTTTTCCTTCCCCTTTCTTTACCATCTTTAGAAATTTAAGTGCTGTAATTACCCTCAAATTTTAATCTCAGTAATTAGAAAAATAATTTTGCTTTCTTTATAGATATTTCTGTTTTCCAATGAGGAATGCTAGGGAAAGTATTTACTTCCTTTCACTTTGCAGTTGATACAAAGATACAGAGTTCTTTATAGAAATGAAGATTTTTTTCCCCCTAAGATTGTTTAACTTCTTGCCAGAGCTAATTGTGCTGAAGTACAGACTGGGAATAAATGTCATCTAAATTCTGCAAATGTCTCTGTGTCATCCAGGTGTTAAGATACTATAATGGGTTCTCAGTGGAGAAGAGAGGAAGAAATGTCAAATAAATAGATAAAACTGATTGTCCTACATGTAGTATTAGAAACATACTCAAGGTGAAGAAGTTCTGCTGAGGAGATAATAGAGTCATTCTCTAGGTAGGAAGGGAAAGGGGGTTGGGACATATGGGTGGCTCCATAGAGAGGGTGATGCCCCAGTAGAGTTTTGAAGCATAACTTGTCATATGAACAAGATGGAGAAGGACATTTCAGACAAGTTGCAGAATTGTGGAATAGTTGGTGTGTTTGGGGAGCTACAAGTAGTTGGATGTGACTGAAACAAAGTGAAGGGCAGTGGGGAATGAAACTGGAGAGGTAGGTCAGTGGAAATTTCTTTTTTATTAAAAAGAACAGAAATAGCCTGTCATAAAAATAGAGCAGGCAAATGTTGATCTTTAGAAACTTGTTATATTGGCTATAGCAATTGTTTTTGCTTTGAGATAACTTCATAATATATGAATTTCACATACATAAGTTACCAGATGCAGTTTTTTTGAAACGTGACAGGAATGGAAAGAATATTTGTGCAGTATTATGCAGATACTGAACTTGTTTATTTGGGATATGAAGCAGAGGGTTAGGACCCTAGGGAAACATACTAATTTGCATAAAGAGACATGTACAGCTATGTTTACTGCAGCATTGTTTTCGGCAGTAAAAAATTGGAAACAAACTAAATGCCATCAATAGAATTGATAAAGTGCGATGTATTTATATAATGGGATAGTATTCAGATGAACAAACTGGGTGTACTAATGTAGATATAGCTCTACACCAATTTTTTTTTTTTTTTTTGAGACAGTCTCACTCTGTTGCCCCGGCTAGAGTTCTGTGGCATCAGCCTAGCTCACAGCATCCTCAAACTCCTGGGCTCAAGCAATCCTACTGCCTCAGCCTCCCAAGTAGCTGGGACTATAGGCATGTGCCACCATGCCCAGCTAATTTTTTCTATGTATTTTTAGTTGGCCCATTAATTTCTTTCTTTTTTTAGTAGAGACAGGGGCTCGCTCTTGCTCAGGCTTGTTTCGAACTCCTGACTTCGAGCAATCCGCCCGCCTCGGCCTCCCAGAGTGCTAGGATTATAAGGCGTGAGCCACCGTGCCCAGCCTTAAACCAATGTTGAACCAAATAAAATTGCAGGTTGAAATAAATGTAAGTATGTTAAAGTTTAGATAGAGTTTTAAATTAGGTGACATATAATTAGGTGAGATATGTCTTTAGAATAATGATCTGAATTAAATGTGGAAAAGTGTTAAAATTTGTGAAAGTTGGCTAGTAGGTACCTAGGTATTTTGTTATTCTTGTCATTTTTCTGAAAATGTAAACAAAAGAGAGAGTCAAGGAAGTTGATGGGTGGAGACATGAAAGCTTGCAATAAAGAAAATTAAGTTTTTCAAGGTTAAGAATGGGCATGGCAGATGCAAAATGCTCCACAAGAGGGGGGGATACTTGAGCAGAGTGTTGGTGAATATAAAGTAAAGAGGTAAGATGAGGTGAGGACTGAACAGGTCTCATTCAATCAGATGTTCTAGCTAATGATTTCTTTCTCTTAATATTTTTTTTTTAGAGAAATATGAAACGCAATGGAAGCAGAAATTGTTTGAATAGGAGAAGTAGGTTTGGTTCTCGAGAAAGAGACTGGCTGAGAGAAGATGTGAAGAGAGGCTGTGTTTACCTTTATGGAGCAGACACTACCACTGCCACTACAACCACCACCACCACCACCACCACCTCCTCCTCCTCTGATGTACATCTTGTCCTTTGCACAGTAGAGACACCAGCATCAGAAATATGTGCTGGAGAAGGAAGAGAAAGTCTTTATTTACAGCTTCATGGAGACCTGGTCAGGTGAGGTCTGAGTTTTACCACTCTGATTCTACTCTATTCTTCATTTATTACTTCTATATAAGTAATAAATGTTTCTGCTTAGACGTGGACTTTAGGATTTTCATTGTGCTGGACCTGCTCTTGATTATGGGAGTTACTAGGTTTGAAAAAAGATTTATCTTTGGAATGGTGGCTATATGATTCATGCATTTAAAAACTATTGGCAAAGGACCATTTGAGAGTTCTTGGATTTGGAATATACCATAGGTCAGATATCTAAATTTAAAATAACTGTTTTAAAAGTTGTTTTTTTTTTCAAAAGTACAAATAGAATGAAATTGAAATGTATAAAAGGATATAGAGTGAGAATTCCTTTTCTCTCTCCCGTTCCCTACTACCCAGACCTTTTCATGAGGGCAGTTGTTATTATCAGTTTCTTATGCATCCTGGGGATGTTCTGTGCAATTATAAGCATGTATATGCTCATGCATGAGTATGTATCTCTATTCATTCATAAATTTTAAAGGTAGTGCTATAATATGGAACACATTGTTGACTTAGTATCTCTTAGAGATCGTTCCATGTTAATATTTATATAGCTATCATTTATTTAAATGGCTGTAGTAGTAATCCATTTTATGAGTCTATCATACTTTTAGCCAATCTCCTATTAATGGGCATTCAAGTTGTTACCAGTTTTTTAGCACTACGAACAGTGCTGCAGTGAATATACTTGTTCCTATGATGTCTGTCATATGTGGGAGTCTATCTATATGATAAACTCCTACAAGTGGAATTACTGCTGGTCAGTTTTGATAGATATTGTCAGATTTCTCTTTATAGAAGTTATATTTTCATCAAAAATATAAAAACAGAGCTGGGCGTGGTGGCTTACACCTGTAATCCCAGCACTTGGTGAGACCGAGGGGAGAGGATCACTTGAGTCCAGGAGTTCAAGACCACCCTGGGCAACATAATGAGACCTCATCTCTACAAAAAGTTAAAAAGTTAGCTGGGCATGGTGGTGCATGTCTGTAGTCCTAGCTAGGTGACTGAAGGCTGAGGTAGGAGGATTGATTGCTTGAGCCCAGGAAATCAAGGCTGCACTGAGCTATGATTGTACCACTGCATTCCACTCTGGGCAATAGACTGAGACCCTGTCTCTAAAAAGAGAGAAAAAAGAAATGTATATGTGTGTGTGTGTGTGTGTGTGTGTGTGTGTGTGTGTGTGTGTGTAGGTATGTGTGTAAATATATTGTCCCACTTTCTCAAAAACATATTAGTATTAAATTTTATATATAAATACAGATACCTGCACATGCTTATAAATAGAAATGATTGTTGACAATTTTTAAATGAGAAGATCATAAAGTTGGCATTCCAAGGACGAATCTTTTTCCAAGCCTTGTGACTCAGAGTTTTGCAAATCTGGTAGGAATTTTATTTTGTTGTTTTAATTCTCATTTCTCTTAATGAGTGAAGTTGACCATATTTTTCATAGATTTAAAAGCCATTTGTGTCTTGAAAATTTTTTATATGTGAAGAGAGTATTATTATAGTAGCTTTATAGTATGCATATAAACTTTGACTCAGCTTTTTTTTAAAATCACTATTAGTTCTTTGAAATAAGAGCACTTTAAATGCTTGACCAATCACCCTTTTCCTTTGGTCCTCATTTTCTGTAATAAAGAAATACCTTGAAACAGAATTCAAAGCTTTGGAGTCAATATTGTTGAAAGTGAGAAGGGAAGCTCCCACTTACACCTTAAAGTGTGGTAATAATAGTAACACCTTTTGCTAAGCTAAAAATTGATGTCATTTTGAAAATCTAAACTGAGGTCTCCTATGTGTTCCTTTTAGGATTTGGACTAATTCCTGAAAAAGTAGATTAGCATTTGAATGTTTTCCTTGTTCACCAGTTAACTACATTTCCTAAATCCACTTGTGAAACGAAAGGATCAGACCGGGTGATCCTTAGGCTTTTCTAAATCTTAACACTGATTCCGATCTAATTTTATCAGGTGGAAAGCCTTGACCTAGATTGTAGCTGGTAGTGATTGAGTTCACTTATTTAAGCGTATGACTTACTCATATGTATAGTAATGTTTATGTTTACAAAGATATTAGAAATGTGGAGAAACCCCACTGGAATTGACTTGTTACTGCTGGTTGTATAATTAGTTAAGGATACAAATGTTACAGTTTATTTACTTATGTGATTCTACACTGTAGTTAAAGTGATGAGTTTGTCTCTTTTTAGTCCTGTAGTCTTGATCATTTGTAATGAAGTAGCTCTTTGCCGATATAATTGATTAGAAAATATGAAAACATAAACTGTGGTTTGAAAGAATGAGTATATTTCCATTTCCGGAGGGGGAGCTCAACTCTTATCTAGGTTGGGTGTGGTGGCTCAAGCCTGTAATCCTAGCACTCTGGGAGGCTGAGGAGGGAGGATTGCTTGAGGTCAGGAGTTCAAGACCAGCCTGAGTAAGAGTTAGACACCCCCAATCCCCCAAAATAGAAAAAATTAGCCAGGTGTGGTGGCGGGCACCTGTAGTCCCAGCTACTTGGGAGGCTGAGGCAGGAGGATCACTTGAGCCCAGCAGTTTGAGGTTGCTGTGAGCTGTGATGACATTGCAGTCTACCTGGGGAGTGAGAGACTGTCTCAAAAAAAGAAAAAAACTGTTATTCAGTTAAGGATGATAATGATGATGGTAGATTTCAACTAACATTAAGTGCTTTCTTGTGCTAGTAGTCAATGTGCTTAGTGCTTCATGCACATTTTCTCATTAAGTCTACTCAGTAACTCCAAGGAAAGTAGTATCATTCTTCTCAGATGAGGAAAACTGAGGCTTTGGGAGAGGTTCAGTAACCTACTCAAGGTCAGGCAGGGACTGCCAGGCTGTTGGAATGCCTGCATCATTCAAGATAGATGATGGACTTTGATCTGAGTAAAGGCCTGCCCTGAGAGGAACTGGCACTGCCGCTTCCCTTACTGAGTTTCACTATTTAATCATGCTTATTTCAAGATCTTTTTGAGATCTCTGACTCAGCTGTTAATTGTTTAAGTTCAGTCGTAAATTGTCTAATGAGAGGAGTAGGTGCTTTCTTTGTAATAGCCCCTCATGAGATAGTTGACAATCTAAGACATTATCTTTTAAGGAACTGTCTGCTGATTACTGAAGTGTACAATGTGTTCACTGAAGAAATTTTGGAAAAGGAAAGAGTGTGAAGAGGAATAATAATATTTAATGTTTATGCTTTATGTAGATTACCTCATTTAATTCTCACACAATCCTCTGAGGTAAACACCATGCCCATTTTATAGATGAGGAAAGTGAGGCTTAAAAGGGTTAAACATCTCACCTAAGAGCAGTCAGCTAATAAGTGTTAGAGCTGGAGTTTGAACCCTGGCATTCTGACACCAGATACCATCCTCTTAACCTATGTAGTAACATTTTTTCCCCAGATCTTTTTTCAGTCATACACACTGTTTAATAATTACATATTTGGGCTCATACCATGTAGTCAGCTTTATATCCTGCCTACTTTACTTAATGAATCATCTTAATTTTATTACATCATTAAAAATTCTTTAGATATCAGTTTTTATAGCTATAGAATCATCCACCGTATGGATATACTGTAAGTTGAGACACAGTATGCAATATGGTTTAGAGATTGGTTTCTAGAATGAGATTGTGTGGGTTCAAATCCTGGCTCTGACAGTTATTATGCAAGGTACATAATACTCTGTGTCTCAGTTTACTAATCTGTAAAACTGAGGATGATAGTATTTACATTGTTGAATTGTCCTGAGAATTAGTTATACACGTTATGAAGATTAAATGAATTAATACTTGTAAAGTAGGCTAGGCGCGGTGGCTCACGCCTGTAATCCTAGCACTATGGTAGGCTGAGGCAGGCGGATTGCTCGAGATCAGGAGTTCGAAACCAGCCTGAGCAAGAGCGAGACCCCATCTCTACTATAAATAGAAAGAAATTAATTGGCCAACTAATATATATAGAAAAAATTAGCCGGGCATAGTGGCGCATGCCTGTAATCCCAGCTACTCGGGAGGCTGAGACAGTAGGATTGCTTGAGCCCAGGAGTTTGAGGATGCTGTGAGCTAGGCTGATGCCACAGCACTCTAGCCTGGGCAACAGAGTGAGACTCTGTCTGAAAAAAATACTTGTAAAGTAGTGCTTCTTAAACTATCTACCCAGGGAGTTTGTTAAAATATAGATTATTGCTGGGCACCGTGGTTCATGCCTGTAATCCTAGCACTCTGGGAGGCCAAGATGGGAGGATCGCTTGAGGTCAGGAGTTCCAGACCAGCCTGAGCAAGAGTGAGACTCCGTCTCTACCAAAAATGGAAAAATTAGCCAGGTGTGATGGCATGTGCCTATAGTCCCATGAGGCTGAGGCAAGAGGATCACTTGAGCCCAGGAGTTTGAGGTTGCAGTGAGCTGTGATGACACTGCTGCACTCTACGACCAGGGCGACAGAGCAAGACTGTATTTTGAAAAAAACCAAAAAACAACAAAAATAGATTCTGATTCAGTAAGTCTAGGGTGGGGCTTGAGATCGTTTTTCTATTAAGCTCCTGGGTGATGTGCTAGGAGCTTAACTTGCAAGGAAAGTAAAGTACTTAATAAGTGCTCAGTAAATGTTACCTATTTGGGTTCTTTCAGATCATTCAACTCTTAGAAGTGGTGTTTTGGTGGCTAAACCATGCCCATGAATCTTTTCATTCGTGATTTCCCTAGGGTAGGTCTGGGAAATGGGATTACTGCAACTAAAATTATACTGTGTTTTCTCTAAATCATTGATTACTTTGTTCTGTCTTTACTTTTTTTCAATCATGGACTTGTCACTTGAGTATAACTGATTACTAATTTATAGAATTTCAGTACTTGAAGGAACCTTAGATCTAGTAGTGAAACTAAGTCTACCCAACCCAGCAACCCCCCCACCTTTCCGTTTGGAAGTCTGTGTGAGGGCAGGCTGTTTTGGCTGTCACACTACTGGGAATTGTTACCAGGATTTAGAAGGCAAAGGCCAGAGAGGCTTAATATCTTCAGTGTGGAGGACATTTCTGTTCAGCAAAGAATTGTCCTGCCCCCAAACCAGGAACTTTCCCATTGGGAGTCACTGAGACCATTTCCCTTTGTTTTCTAAATGTGAGACAGGCCCACAGAGTTCGGGTTGAAAGTATATTCCTGCAGCTGGCTGGTGATGGAGCTGCAGTTTGGACGAAAGTGTCCTATCTCCCAGTCTGCACTCCTTACGTTATAATGTTTGGCCTGTCTTATCTTTTTTTACTAAACTGTTTAAGTGATGAATGACTCACTAGTGAAACTTAGTGTGATCCTTGCCTACTGTCTGAAAAGTTTAACAAGATCATATGTGATAAAATGGATTGCCCTTTGGCTCATGGTCATGTACTTGCTTTTTTATTCTTTGTCATCAAAATGACTAAGATTTTGAAGTGTTTGGTAGTTATCTTTTAAGATTAGATGAGAACCAACAAGATATGCATAACAGAAAACACCCTTGGGATTTGGAATCCTTAGTTCTAATTCCTTTTCTGTCACTGACTTGTTGGGTGACCTCTTGCAAGTCATTAAAATTTTACCATATTTTGAAGTCATGAAAGTGGCTCAAAAAATCCTATTTCAGGATACATATTGAACAGATTACCACCGAGGAGGGGAAAAGGGTTTTTCGTTTTAAAACTTCTGAAATCAGCATGTATCTTACAGTTGATGGTAGGTCATAGTTTAATAGGCAGTATTTGTTATTAATGGTTATTCTGACACTGTGTGCTTTACTGCAGTCCAGTTTTGACACCCACCACCAGAGTTAGTGCAGACTTCACAGGTTAAAGAGCATGGTCCCTAACAAGATTGCCCTTACCTACGATTCCAGCTATACTTCTGAACAGCTGGCTACAAATTTGAGAGTTTCCATGACTCACTCAGGTTCAGTAATTCACCAGAACAATTCACACAACTCTGGAAGGCAGTGTACTTACGATTACAGTTGTAGTATCAAGGATGTAAATCAGAATAAATCAGAACCAGTCAGCTGAAGAGACACACAGGGCGAGGTCTGGAAGGGTCCCGAGTGCAGAGCTTCTGTGCCCTCTCCTGGTGGAATCAAGGCCTGTCACCCTCTCAGCACTTGCAAGTGTTCACCAGCCAGGAAGCTCCAATTCAGTGCAGAGTTTTTATTGGTGTTTCATTACAAGGGCATGATTGATTGAATCATTGACCTATTATCCACTATTAAGTAGAAGTCTTGTGAAGTGATACTTAGAGTGAAATGTACTCTTCTCTTACAGGTGTCTTAGCTATGGGCACTGTTGAGGATAACTAATATAGAAAGATAACCACTCTTGACTTTGACTGAGAGGTATAATCTCTTGTTGATAGCATTCTTTATCTGCTGGTTGATTTGGAGAGAAATTACCGTATGCATATATATTTAAATTTAAGTGGACTATAGTAGCTTTTAGAAGCATTAGAAGCAAACCGAAATTATTATAGTAGTCTTACTGTCTCCCTAAAGCAGTAGTGGAAGTAGTTCAAATGTTGAATAAAACTTTTTTCCCCCAGCATTAGTTTCTCCTACACCTGTTTTGCAAAATATAATTTTCATTTGATTTGTGAGAGATTTAACAAATAGCTAATTATCAGTCTGTTAAACTTTTGGAACTTTGAAACATAAAATTGAGCTGTAAGCATATTACAGCATTTCCCTCCCCCATACTTTCTAGTCTCTTAAGCAGATGAGTTTAATGAGTAAATGGAATTAGTTCCTCATTTTGCTTGTTTTTGTACTTCTTAAAATATTACTTACTTGTTTACTTATTTATGCTAAATTAATGAAAGCAGATGTCGAAGTTTTCTTGATTTTTTTTTTTTTCTTTTTCTCCCACTAGGGAAAATACTTTAAGTAGAAACATATAAAGAGGGTTGCTAAAGTCTTCAGAGCCTTTTTAGGCCAGGAAATTTGATCATGTAAAATTTGTTGTAATTAAGATGCTTCAATTTCTTTCAGTTTTCTAGAGAGAAATAGAAAAACTGACTCAGTGAGATTTAGTCTAGAAAAGTATGATTATTTCTTTGCTCCTGAATATGTGATCATTATATGGAATTATGGTATTTAAATACATTGAACTCTATATCCTAAAATAATAGTATGATTAAGGTAGAATTTGTATTGTATTAGAAGATGTCTTAGATATGTCACAGGCTCTTGAGTTCTAAAAGATCATAAAGATCATATGGTCCACTTTGATTCTTACAGGAATCTCTTCTAAAATATTTGAGACAGATGGCTCCCTAATTCTTTCTGAGAAATTTTGAGAGGCAGTGTGTTTCAGTATTGGGCATCTTTAATTATAAAGATTCTTCCTTATATTTAGTCCTTTAGACCAAATCTACCTATGCAACTTCTCATTGTTCCTAGTCCCATTCTTTGGAGCAATGCAGAGTAAGTCTAATCCTTCCTGACATGTGAAGATACAGTTCTTTATGCCCTAAGTCTCCTTGTCTTCAAGTTAATCCTCCTTTAATCATTCTTCATATTGTGTAGTTATTAATAGTTGACATCTCCAGGATGTAGTTCATTAGAAGTCTCTCTTAAAATGCATCTTTTTCAGAAGAATTCTGCCATTGTGCTGGGAAAATGCCTACCATTGTCAAAGACCTTTGTGAAGCTTGATTTTCTTTGGCTAGGGATTAATTGTAACTGGTGTTTTTATTCTGAAAAGTTTATTTTCCATTTCTTTTAAATTCAGTCCTTATTAATCTTTATAGACTTTTTGTTCTTTGGTCATTCCCCATGTAATAGTTAATTCTGAGTTTGTTTCATAGTTTCTAGAAGCTACAAGACTGAACTGAGCAGTCAGGAGGGGCTGGGTATTTTATTTTATTTTTTATTTTTGTCTTTTTTGTACATCAGTATGGTTACTATTCTTCATTTTGATACATTTGTTTATGTTCATCTTTGTAATGTTCCCATTTTATGGTATTTTTTACTTAATTCTTATTGCTAACAGTGTTTTCTAGCTCTTCAACCACAAAACAGACATCTTTCATATTTTTTTGCCATGATGGGAAGTATATTTTATTGCTTCTAAATAATATAATTCTTAAGTTTTCTAAGCAGAGTCCTTTTAATGTTCTATAAGACATTTTGCATACACATTGACTTTCCAATTCTTGCTTTTTGGTTGTTGTTTCAGGTGGGAGAGATATTTTTATTATAATTAAAATGTGATTCCAATACTAAAATTCTTTTGAATAATTGTTAACATGTTATTGAATGTTTACTATCTGTGAGATATTTTGCTAAGCACTTTACAACCTACCATATAGTATCTTGTAAGTAAATAAATAAATCTCTTAGCAATCTTGTGAGTTAGGTACTATGTTATTCCCACTTTATTGATGAAGAATTTAAGACAATGAAGTTAAATAACTTGTACAGGGACATGCTGTTGATAAAATGGCAGAACTAAGACTCCAACCCAGGCAATGTGACTTTTGGAGCCCATAGTCTTAGCCACTGTATTTATAACTGTTAGCTTTCTGATGAAAGCATTGTAGAAGAGCTGTCTTGTTATTATGAATGGTGTAACTCCTTCTGTCAAAACACACATTGATTGGCCGGGCGCGGTGGCTCACACCTGTCATTCTAGCACTCTGGGAGGCCGAGGCGGGTGGATTGCTCGAGGTCCAGGAGTTCGAAACCAGCCTGACAAGAGCGAGACCTGTCTCTACTTATAAATAGAAAGAAATTAATTGGCCAACTAATACATATAGAAAAAATTAGCCGGGCATGGTGGTGCATGCCTGTAGTTCCAGCTACTAGGGGGGGGGGGGGGCCGGGGGAGGGGCCTGGGAGGCTGAGCAGCAGGATCGCTTGAGCTCAGGATTTGAGGTTGCTATGAGCAGGCTGACACCATAGCACTCACTCTAGCCTAGGCAACAAAGTGTGACTCTGTCTCAAAAAAAAAAAAACACATTGATCACTTTTGGTTTTATATATATTTTAAGTCTGTGTGTTTTAAAATATGGTGTCACTAGAGGCGATAAATTATTGCTAGACATTCTAGTTTTACCTTAGCTTTCAATCAGGACCATGTAGTAGAATGATTTTGGGGGGACTTAATGGACCATTCATCCTAGTTTTTATGAAAGAATCATCTATGAGGGTGGTGAAAATATATAGCATTTGGGATATAGTAGACAACCCCAAAGTCAACAACTCTAATTGTGTGTGTAGCTTATATGATATCAGTTATAGCCAAAAGCTCTTTGTGGTCCTCAAAGAGTACATAGGGGTCCTAAGATCAGGAACTTTGAAAACCACTTGTTTAGTTGTACCATATGCTATTAAAGAAAATTTTGATCTAAAAATAAAAATCAAGAATATATTGAAAGATTAAAAAAAGTAAGTGAAGCATTTTTATTACTTACCCAATATATGTTTTTAATTGTGCAAGCAGGAGACTGGAACCTACTGAACGACCTCTTCAGATTGTTTATGATTACTTGTCCAGACTGGGATTTGACGATCCTGTGCGCATACAGGAGGAGGCTACAAACCCTGACCTCGGCTGTATGATTCGGTTTTATGGTGGTAAGAATTTATCAGTGGCTTTATGAATATGTTCACTACTTTTAAGTTGATCGTGTATGCCTTAATCTGCATTCAGCTTTTTAAAAAGTATTTTACCAAAAGCTAATTTTAAGCCAATTAACTCATGTAGTAAAAGCAACCAAACAACAACAAAAAGAAGAGATCAGGGGGTAGGGGAAGACTTAAAAGTTTGAGTCCAAAATATCTTCCCTTTTAATTTTTGCTTTTTGTTCTTGTGTTCCGCTAATTTACTGTAATAGAATTATTTTGTACCTTTGCCAGAATCTTGATCAGATCATACTTTAGTATCAGTTATTTTTTTCAAGCTCCTGGTAAAGTCTATGAACTTCTGGATAGTCAAATAATGTTGTGAGAAATAAGTAATTATAATATATAACTTGACATTTGATGAATACATCTGTCAGATTTGTGTATTGATGAATTTAGTGGGCTTTAATATAGGATTTTTGACCCTCTTCACTTTTGTGCAGTTTTCTCCCCCTAGACTTTTTCACCTGATCACTTCAACAATGAAATTAGACTTTTAAAAATCAGATACTCTTTCTAAATATTACTTAGCTTACTAATACTACTACTAACTAACATTCATGGAGTGCTTACTGTGTGCTTTTATGCTTATGAATTACCTGATTTACTCATTATGATCACCCTATGCTGTAGGAACTACTATCCCATTGTACAGATGAGAAAACTGAGGTGGAGAGAACTTAACTTATTCAAGGTCATACAGAAATGACAGAGCCATTTAACACCTAATAGTTTTGAATTAATATGACCCACTTACTAAACAGTTGAGCCAGAATGGTTAAGTGATCAGTATATCTAGGCATAACCATGTACTAAGATTCCCTGCTCTCATTGACTTAGCTTATGTATACTACCTTTTTTTATTTTTTTTCAGTCGGGATCTCATATGTTGCCAAGTAGAGTGCAGGGCTGTTCACAGGCACAATCATGGCACACTACAGCCTTAAACTCCTGGGCTCAAGTGATCCCCTGCCTTAGCCTCCTGGGTAGCTGGGACTACAAGTGGGTGCCTCAATGCCTGGCTGGGTTATTTTTTTTCCTTTCTTTTTGGTAGAGATGGGGTCTCACTCTTGCTTAGGCTAGTCTGGAACTTATGAGCTCAAGCAATCCTCCTGTCTCGGCCTCCCAAAGTGCTAGGATTACAGGCGTCTGCCACCATGCCTGGTCCAAAGATAACCACTGTTAACTGAAGGGTTGAAGTATTCTCTTTGAAGCAAATAGCTTAGTAATCAGCTTTAAATATTTTGTGTGTAGAATCTGTGGTGAGTCAGCTTTGTTAGAATACAGTGTTAATGAGGCCAACGTCATAAGGGCCTAAGTTCAAAGCAGTTAATGTTGTTATGTTCTCTGGTTTATAGGGTACCCAGTGTCCCAGGCAGCAAGCGCTAGTTATCAGTCTTGTTGGAGAGGGAGTGCTGGGGGAGACGGGAGTGGAATGACTGTCTCAGTGCAAAGTTGGGATCTAAAAGCTATGGAAATAACATATTTTATTAACAGCGAGTGGGTAGCGTGATCAGTCACGGGGATTAAGGGAGCACATTAATCAATCCCTTTTTTGTGTTTGAGGAAACAGAGACTAGAAGGTGTGATTTGCTTGTGTAGTTGTAGTTCTGGGATTGCCTAGCTCAGGTAGCGCTACTTCCTGCCTGTACATTGCTTTCTGTACCACATTGTCTGCACACAGTGTTTAAAACAATTTTGTCCAAAGAGCATAAAAACAAACAAAAGAAGACAAACATAAAAGAATCACATGGTATTTTTTCATTCATTTAAAGTTCAAAACCAGGCACATCACAGCCATATTGTTTAGAGATGTGTGCAGTACTGCTGTCAATCAAAATCTGTTCTTTCCTTCTTCTATAATAACAAAACCATAGTGGAGTGTGTGATTTCCCGGCAATACCTCATTTCCCAGCCCTTTTTTTTTTTCATTTTATTGTGAATTTCCCAGCCTTTTTTACAGTTAGGTGTGCACATGTGACAAAATGTTCTTCGATGGTGTGGAGTGAAATGGGTGTGTGCTGTGTCTGCACCTGGTTCTTAGAACCTCCCACGTATGCCTCCCTGTGTTCTTTTCTTCTCGCGTGGGCTGGGATGGTAATAATCAGAGCAATATTTGATAGAAAGTGTTGAAAATGGCAGAGCCACCACCAGCGTGAGTTTCTGCATGACGATGTTGACCCCTGGAAGCTCGGAATGCTCACCTGATCAGAATTAAATTTCTCTTGTGTTTGAGCCATTATATTCTGTGTGCTATAGTAGTTAAACTTACTGTAATTAATACAGGGTGTATACAAAAGTGGCAAAAATGTAAAGAGAACACAGGTATGACTATTATAAAAGTCAAGGGAGTGGGCGACCTCTACAGTAGAGGGAGGAGGATGTGAATCTTACAGGTAGAATTTTTGAGTTAATACTTTTTAATTTTGACTCAGTATTCCTAAATTGCACAAATAGGTGATACCAGTGTGCGCTTTCTTTCTTTTTTTTTTTTTTGAGACAGAGTCTCACTCTGTTGCCCAGGTTAGAGTGAGTGCCGTGCTCAGCCTAGCTCACAGCACCTCAAACTCCTGGGCTCAAGGTCCTGCTGCCTCAGCCCCCGAGTAGCTGAACTACAGGCATGTGCCACCATGCCGGCTAATTTTTTCTATATATATATAGTTGGCCATTAATTTTTTCTTTATAGTAGAGACGGGGTCTTGCTCTTGCTCAGGCTGGTTTCGAACTCCTGACCTTGAGCGATCTGCCCACCTCGGCCTCCCAGAGTGCTAGGATTACAGGCGTGAGCCACTGCGCATGGCCACCAGTGTGCACAGTGTGCACTCATTTCCCTACACTTTTGCCAATATCAGGTATCATTGTTAAAATTAATCTTGCTCAAATTGCAGAAAATACTGTCTCATGTTAATTTGCATATTTTAAACTTATTTGTTAAAATGTAGGAATGATATTATAGAAAAGCATTGTACCACCCTAATACAATTACTTTTATGATTGTATATTTTCTTAGTCTCAAAATATTTTTAATTATTGTGTTCATACATTTTTTCTTTTAAAATATTTTGTTTTTAATTATACAAGTTAAATATGAATATACTGTTATTATCTGTAGTGCTTTAATTTCTTATGATCACCTCTTAAGTCCTTTAACTGCTTTATAGATGACCACTGCTCTTGATTTGGTGTGACCTGTTGATAATTTTCTAACTTTTATTCCTATGTAATATATCTTTGTAGAAATATATGGATTTTATTTACATAAATGGTATTATTTGTTTATGTGAATGGCATTGGTCTCCATGCTGCTGGTGAACCCAGCAGTATGTCTTGAGGCTCTTTCCTTATTGGCATTTGTAGAACCAACTTTTGTGTGCATTTCTTTAAGCTGCATAGTATTGAATATCATGTATATATTATAGTCCATGTAACCTTTTCCCTAGTGATGAGCATTACATTGTTTCCAGTTTGGGGCTGTTAAAAACAGTTTTGTAATAAAATTGCCTCTTGTGCACCTTTGTTCCGAGTCAGTCTCCAAGTATGAAATTATTGGGTCCCAGGATATTCACATTTAAAATATTAATTACTACTGTAGAACACTTTCCGTACCCTATCAGTATATCAGAGTACCTTTGCCCACAGTATGACCTTTCAATATTATTAGGCTTTTAAATTTTTTACTAATCTGATGGATAAAATGATGGTCTGCATTGTTTAAATTTTTGTTTCCCTCATTGCTGCTACTAGTGTGGTTGAGAATTGTTTTATATTTTTATTGGATCTTCAGATTTCTTCTCCTTTGAATTATCTATTGATATTTTTGTGCATATTTCTGTCATTTTTCTTACTGATTATTTAAAGAATTTCTGTATATGTTCTGAATATATATTCTTTGGATACTGTATTAGTGATGAAATTTTTTCCAGCCTGTAAATTTTAATTTTATTTATTGTACAGAGTTTAAACTGTTTAACCAGATTTAGTCAGTTTTTTCTTTTAATGCATTTGTATTTCATCCCTCTCCTAGATCATAAACATAGTCTATATTTTATTCCTGTACTTTTATATTTTTAAAATATGATGGGAAGGTGTAATCTAACTTAATTTTTTTCTTAGTGAGTTGCCCAACAAAGTTAATGGAATTAGCTCATTCTTTTCCTACTGAGTTGAAATTTCACCTTTATTAAGTTTCTGTATAAGCAAGGGTCTATTTTTGGACTCTATCCTGTTACATTGCTCTATTTGTCTTTTCTTGTACCAATACCAAAACTATTTTAACTAATATACATATATGATTTATTTTGATAGGTCACAGGGAAGTTCCCTATTGCTGTCCTTCTTGGAAAATCAGGGAGAGCTCTAGAAATTGGGGAAGTCTTTGTGAAGGAGTAGTTGTATTTGAGTTAGTTCTTTAAAAACTGATAGAATTTCAACAAGCAGAAGTGAAAAAGGACAGGGGTAGATTAGAAATTTCATCACATGTTCTGTGAATCACAGATAATTCGGGTCCAGATTGTTTTGGGCCATGAGTGTACTATCAGGAGTTTAGCCTTCATCTGGCAGATGGTACCAGGAAGTGATGGGATCCAAGTGAGCCAGAGGAAGATGAATCTGCTGCTGGTGTGGCTAATAAATCAGATGTGAATTAATGGGCATCTGAACTAGGGAATGTGAAGTGGTCATTCCTATGAGAGACTTTTCGGAGGAATAATTGGTAAGCATTGATGGTTGACTGATAAAGGGAGTTGAGAAAGTGAACCCAAGAGTTAAAGCTGACTCTGACATTTTGAGCCTAAGTGACTTCAGGAGGTGACAGAGCTTGAGTTGTGAGAACGAGCTGGTTTCAGGGGTGGTGAGGACTTGGTTTAGGTGTGGTTAATTTTCAGTGTTGGTAAATGTCCAGTTGGAGATGCCAGGCAAACAGTTGGAAATACGGAACCAGAGCTTAAGAAATACAGATCTGGGAGAGTCAAACTCTCTGAGGAAGGTAGAATTTGGAATATAGGTGGCCCTCTATATCTGCTGAGAATCAAAACATTTAAAAAAAAATACAAATTTTAAAAATATAGTATAACAACTATGTAGCATTCACATTATATGAGGTATTATAAGTAATCTAGAGATGATTCAGAGTATATAGGAAGATGTACATAGACTATATGCAAATACTATGCCTTTTTTTTTTTTTTTTTTGAGATACCGTCTTGCTCTGTCACCCAGGCTAGAGTGCAGTGGCATCATAGCTCACTGCAACCTCAAACTCCTGGCCTTAAGTGATCCTCCCTCCTCAGCTTTCCAAAGTGCTAGGATTACAGGTGTGAGCCCCCGTGCCTGGCTGATGCCATGTTACATGAGGGACTTCAGCATCTGTGGATTTTGGAATCTGTGGAAGGGTCCTGGAACCAATCCTCTGTGAATACCAGGGAAAGACTGTGTAGATGAAAGGATTGGCCTAGAATAGTAGATAAATGGCTATCCTATCTATCTAATGTTAACATACAAAGCTTTATTGAATAATATAATTTTAAGGCTTTGAAGTAATCTACCCATTTCCTCATTCTGAATATACATCCTTTGGATACTGTATTTGTGACTAAAGTAATGCCCAAGGTTGCATAATCAATATGTGGTAATATCAGGAATACAACCCAGTCTTTTCAACTCCTGGGTTACTGTTTGCACCGCCTCATACTATGGCTGCTCCTGCTCATTTCTGTGTATAGATACTTATCTGTTTTTAGTAGCGTTGTTATCAAAAACTTCCCATCTCTTCACTGTATCTCTGTCATAGGAAGACTTCTGATGGAAAGGAGGATGTTTAAAGAAAGAGAAGTTCTTGTGTGCACGTATCAACTTCTGCCATTATGGTTGGGACAGTCAATTGAAATGTCATCCATAAGCTTTTCCCTGTGAGAGGCACAGGGATAGAGGATTATATACAGAATTAGAGTACTAGTACTCCTGTAGTTAATTACTTTCTTCCTTCAGGAATAGACTAACAACAATAGTGGTTCTCATTTATTCCACACTTCTTTTGTACCTAAAACTATTTCGAGTACTTTATATTCATTATCTTTCTTAATTTTTACCAGAACCCCCTGAAGGTAGGTAGTATTAAGATCCAAACTATATAAATGAACAAAGGAAAGCTCAGTGAGATTAAATAGTTGAAGCAAAGTAAGCAGAAGAAGGATTCAAATTCAAATTCAAAGGATATCTGACTCCAAAGGTTATGATCTTAATCACTCTACCATACTGCCTTTCTCTGCATACATAAGAAACCCTTCCTGTTGGAGGAAGGGTTAACAATGGCATTCAAGTAAAATCTTGCTCTGTAAACCAGAATTTACAGGTACTCCCACTATATAGAAGTTCAGTGATAGATAATATTTTAGGACCGAGATCTTATTTTGTAATACCTATATTGCTTGGTTACTTATATCTATAAATAAGGTTATTGAATGTTGACACATAATACTTTCTTTTTCCCTTTCAGTATTCTTATACTGCTTTAATGGTGGATTCTGAAGTATTGTCTTCTTTTCAGAAAAACCATGCCAGATGGATCACCTGGATCGAATCCTGCTGTCTGGCATCTATAATGTACGCAAGGGAAAGACTCAGCTGCATAAATGGGCTGAGCGCCTGGTGGTTCTCTGTGGTACCTGCCTTATCGTTTCCTCGGTGAAGGACTGTCAAACTGGAAAGATGCACATTTTGCCTCTGGTCGGGGGAAAGGTAAGACTCACAAAGATGAATTATTCATTTGATCATCTTAATTAACAAAATTTTGGCTGAGCACAGTGGCTCACGCTTGGAATTGCAGCACTTTGGGAGGCTGAGGCAGGAGAATTACTTGAGGAGTTTGAGACCAGCCTGGGTAACATAGGGAGACCCTGTCTCTACAAAAAATTAAAAAATTAGCCAGGCAGCATGGTACGTACCTGTAGTCCTGGCTACTTGGGAGGCTGAGGTGGAGGATCTCTCGAGGCCAAGAGTTCGAGACCAGCCTGTGAAGGAGCAAGACCCTATCTCTACAAAAAATAGAAAAATTAGCCAGGCATAGTGGCACATGCCTGTAGTCCCAGATACCTGGGAGACTGAAGCTGGAGAATTGTTTAAGCCCAGGAGTTTGAGGTTGCTGTGAGCTATGATGATGCCACTGCCCTTATGCCTGGGCAACAGAGCAAGACTCTGTCTCAAAAAAAAAAGACTATGTTCTTATCAAAGGTTTTGGGGTCTTGGAGTTTGGGGGAGAATTTCTTGCAAGAGCTGTTTTTGTGCTGTGAATCTCTACCACCACTCCAAATAGGAATGGGGAGGTTTTTGGCTCTTTACTCAAGCCTAGTGAAAGAAGTTTCAATATGACTGAAGAGAGCTTGATGAGGGTCCTGTGTAGTAAGTGGGACATAGTAGACTGGTGTCCTGCCTTCTGACCAGGAAGTCTTAAGGATAAGAGAGGTGCTCCTTAGCTGCTGGTGACAAAACAAAGGCATAAGTAATGTGTTGGGATCATTGTGTATTCCTTGGGTTTGTTAGTGTGTGATCCATTGGCAAATGGATTGAGGTGGGTGGGAAGGGAGGAGAGGAAGAGAAGAGAAGGAAGAAAAGGAAGAGAGAGAAAAGAGCAGGAAAGTGAGAGCAGGTGCGCATGAATGCAAGCCATTGTGTGCGTGTGTGGGGGTGTGTGCATTCTCTTAGATATTCAGAATTGTGCAACTATCCATATAATCAATTTTAGAACATTTTTAGACCCTAAAAGGAAACTGTGTATCCCTTAGCCACTATCCCCAGTTTCCTCCCGAGCCCTAGGCAACTACTAATCTACTTTTTGTCTCTAGTTATTTGTCAATTCTGGACATTTCATATAAGTGGAATCATAAAATACATAGTTCTCTGTGACTGGCTTCTTTCACTTAAGATGTTCAACCATGTTGTATCATGTATTATTACTTTATTCCTATTTATACCAAATAGTATTCTAGTGTATGGATATACCATATTTTGTTTATGCATTCCCTGGTGATGGACTTTTGGGTTGTTTCTGCTTTCTTGGCTACTGTGAATAAATGCTACTCTGAACATTCAAGTACAAGTTTGTGTGTTGGACATATTTTTAGTTCTCTTGGATATAAACATAGGAGTGGAATTGCTGGTTGTGTAGTGGCTGTGTGTTTAACCTTTTGAGGAACTGCCAGACTGTTTTCCAAAGTGGCTGCACAATTTTACATTTCCACCAGCAGTATATGAGGGTTCCAGTTTGTCCATATCCTTGTCAATACTTATTATACAACTCTTGTTATGATCTATGTTTTTAATTTTAGCTGTCCTAGTGGATGTATGGCATCTCATTGTGGTTTTGATTTGCATTTTCCTGATGGCTAATGATGTTGAACAATGTTTCATGTGCTTGTTTATTTTCTTTGGGAAATATCTATTTAGATCTGTTGCCTATTTTTTTAATTTCAAAATATTAAGGGGGTACAAATGTTTTAGGTTATATATTACATGGATCATTTTTGTAATGCTTGAGTCCTGAGTATAGGTGTGTCCGTCACCCAAATAGTGTTCATAATACCCATTAGGTTGGCTTATTTCCCTCCCTCTTCCCCCATCCCCCATTTTTTTTAATTTGGGTTATTTGTCTTGTGATTACCTTTTGCTTTTTTGACTAGGATTTTTTTTTTTTAATTGTTCTGGTTTTCTCCCCTCCTCTTCTTCAGATAGAAGAAGTGAAGCGACGGCAGTACTCCCTGGCATTCAGCTCGGCTGGAGCCCAGGCTCAGACCTATCATGTCAGCTTTGAGACTTTGGCGGAGTACCAGAGATGGCAGCGGCAAGCATCCAAGGTGAAAAGCACTCACACGTCCTGATGTGGAGATGAGCATGGAGAAGCCCATCAGAAACGTATTTTGACACTGAACTTACTCCCAAGAGAGTGAATTATAATTTTTAATTTCCTTTGTTTGTAGGCTTTTCTGAGTATATAATGAATGAAATCATGGAATGCCACAAAGTCCTTAACTTATTATTTATATTCACATAGCACAAAATGCTGTCCAAAGTGTTTTCAGGTGCTTTTACCTCTGTACCATCTCTGTGAGGTGTAGGGCTTGGGAGGATTATGAGTGGACCCTTGAAGGAAGTGAGACACAGTGAGATTTCGATGACTTTCCTGTGACCTCAGTAGTCAGTGCTAGATGGATTCGTTTTCTAACTTGTAGTCCAGTGCTGCTTGGTCTGTATAAACTTAGAACAGGTTTGAAAAACCACTTCAAATATGAACTTACTGATGCAGCAGTGACCTGTAATTCTTCACAAGTCATTCCTATATGCTGAGGATAATTAGCCTTTCAGCATAATTTCTGCTATTTTGGCTTTAAGGATAAGCTATTGTAAAAGTGTATTGTGATTTTCGAATTCTCTTGTGCTTGTAGCCATCTTTGCAGAATTTTGCATAAGAGATTGTTATAATGACATTCTATCAAAATATAAATGACTTTTCCAATAATATAGTTTGGGTTTTTTAGATTCATTTTCATGACCTCTATTCTGTTAGCATACTGTTATAGAAATATAAACCTTGTTTTGGTTTTACTGAATTTTTTATGGTTATGTTGTATTGGCTATAAAAATCTGCTCTGAATTACACTAGTTTCAATTTTAAGTAGCTATTCTATTCCTCTTCTGCCCTTTTAAAAGCAAAGTTAATATTTTTTGAGCATCTTTTGCATGCTCAGCAGCATGCTGTATGTGCTTGGTTATTTAATTTTAATCTTCATAACAAATGAAGAAACTGTGCTAATAAGTAGCAGAGCTAGAGTGACTACAAAAGGCCATGTCTTTTCATATCACACTCTTGATATGACAAAAAACTCTTAAGGTTATTTACAGTTATTTTGAATCATCTTAAGATTATTTCTTACATGAAATGTGACCTTTCCATCTTTATGATTTGTATTTTTTTTTAATCTTTTCCTTATAGAGCCTTTACAATTTCTACTTTTGTTTTTTAAGAAGCTTATGGTTTTAGGAAAAAGTAAAAATGAACTTGCTTTTGTAAATGAATAATTGCATCCATTACCTTTTTTCTTTCTTGTATTTTTTTTTGGTTGAGTCAATCTATTGTTTCATTTGCATCTTTAGTGTGTTCAAAAAGAGATTAGGTACATCATACAGAATTTATTTTAAATAAGAAAAATTAATATAATGAAATTTTCTAAGCACCTTGTATTTAACTAGCCATTTAAAATGTGTTCATACATGTATGCATGTATGTATATGTATGTTGATGTGTATATATGTCTGCACACACATATATAGATATATACAAAATAATAAAGATACCTAGGGCTAGGCTAATGAGTAATATTATTATTTTTTTTTCTTTTTTATTTCAGCATATTATGAGGGTACAAATGTTTAGGTTACGTATGTTGCCCTTGCCCCACCTGAGCCTGAGCTTCAAGCGTGTCCATCCCCCAGACGGTGCGCACTCATTATGTGTGTATATACCCATCCCCTCCTCCCCACCTCTTTCCTGTGTTTTTATTCAGTGCCCTTTTGTGTAAATGCCGTTCCATGTTCTCTGGCTAGAGCTGTCAGAAAAATAAATGAAATAAAATAAATGCCGTTCCATTTTAAGCTAGGTTATAGACACTCAGTGCTAGCTCAGAACGCTCTGCTCTTTGGCCTTTTCAGGTGGTGTCCCAGCGAATCAGCACTGTGGATCTCTCGTGTTATGGCCTCGAGGAGGTTCCTGAGCATCTCTTCTACAGTCAAGATATCACCTACCTCAACCTGCGACACAACTTCATGCAGCTAGAAAGACCCGGGGGCCTTGACATGCTCTACAAGTATGTGGAGAATAGGTTTCCAGACTGACATGTTAAAACCAAATTGTAATGAGTATCTTAGTGGTTTGTATCTGGAAGTGAGCTGTGAGTGAGCATGTTACCATGGTTGCACATATTCTAAAATTCCTTCTCCTTTTTGATAGGGAAGTGAAATTTTTTTATTCACACAATTCTCCCACCTGCCCTACCCCCCACCCCCCATAAAACATAAGATTGATGCAAATGATCTGTTATGGAGGCAACAGTGAGCTGTCATTGATCTGGATAATCTTTTTATATAAGTCATTGACAATGATATGCAGCCAGGGTGGATCAGGAGATTCAGTATATGGGAATTTTGAATGAGAAGTATTAAATTTAAATGACTTCAAGGAGGTAGGCCTAATTTCAAGGATTTCACAGTCTTAGAGACAGGGCTTTATCTTTCCTTTATACCTTCTGCTGCCAACTCTTGAGCCTTTTGTCAGTTATGAAACTTCTCTCTTCTAATAAAGGAACCATTTATGCCTACCACACTGTGCCCTACATATTTTTCCATCTCTTTTGTTAAAATATTTCCCATTCCTACCTTCTCTCTATCCCACCTCACTCCTCTACTCAAAAAATGGATAGCAGTGAATAAACACGTGGTATGAGTAATTGTCTGGGCTTCTGGTGGGCAAGGGAGAAATTAGAAATTAAAAACATTCAAAGTGACTTAAATTATGTGATCATTAAAAAGATACATTAAAATGACATATCTTACTACATTAATAACTCATGATTCTGGAGTAATTTCCAGAAAAATTATGATTTTTATCTCGTACTATGTTTTAGAAAGTTTTTCAAGTATAAGCCTCTAGTTAGTAATGAGATAGTTATTTTAATAATATTGGCATGTTAAAGTGTAAACAAGCTATAATTTAGGGAAGTTGGTTTCTAACATTTCTGTCTGAGTTGCTATGAAAATAGGATTAAACCAGTCTGAGGGCTGGATCATAAATTCTGAAGTCAAGGCACCAAGCCAAAGAAATAATCAGTAATCAAGGCCAAGTCATCTGGAAATCAAAAGTTGAGAATTTGGAAGAGGAGAATTAGAATGAGGTAGCAAAGATTCTAGTCTAGAAGTCGGTGATACAGACCACCGACATAGAGAACAATTTCTTAGCCTCACCATCTTGCACTTGTGCCCACACAGTGTTGGGCACATAGTGAGTGCTCAGTGAATATTTTTGGAATAAATTCTATGATAAACATTTAAAATAGATCATTTAAGGCCAGGCGCTGTGGCTCATGCTTGTAATCCCAGCACTTTTGGAGGCTGAGGAGTTTGAGACCAGCCTGAGCAACATAGCAAGATCTTGTCTCTACAAAGAATAACAAATTAGCCAGAAGTAGAATTACTGAAGTTAATCTTATGGCTCTATTTTATGACAATACTATCTCTGGATAAGATAATATAGATACTTTTACTTACAAGCAAAATAGAAGCACTAAAAATTATTTCATGTTGTATATTAGATCACATCTCAGTAAAACACTATGTCATGTTTATATTTTCAAACTCTCCCTGGTCCATTTGTTTCAAGTGACAGATTGAGCCAGCATAATTTCAGTATGAAAGAAGAAGTTGCTTATAATGGGATTTAAAAAAAAGACCAGCCTGGGTAACATAGCAATACCCCATGTCTACAAAAAATAAAAAAATGAGCTAGGTATGGTGGCTTTTGCCTATAGTCCCAGCTACTTGGGAGGCTGTGGTGGAAGGATCGCTTGAGCCCAGGAGTTCTGGGCTGCAAGAAGTTAATGATTGTGCCACTGTACTCCATCCTGGGCAACAGAAAGACCTTGTCTCTAAAAAATCATAAATAGATGACATAGATCATTTAAGACAGGTGATCAAAGGCCATTGATGTCTCTTATAAAGATATAGTAACAAATTTATTGAAATGCAATATAAACTTTTGGCTTTGCTCTTTAGATTTTCTCAGCTGAAGGGCCTGAACTTGTCCCATAATAAACTTGGGTCGTTTCCTGTGTTGTTGTGTGAGATCTCCACCCTGACTGAGCTCAACCTTTCCTGCAATGGATTTCATGACCTACCAAGTGAGATTGGCAATCTGCTAAAGTAAGTATCTGACTTTACTAGATTCCTCTTTTCCCTTGCAGAATAAGAAACTTGCCTGGCATTTGGAATGAAAGTAGTACCATGAACTCTTGCAGTGATACAAATAATGTAATTATCAGGATTCTAGTCAGCCACAGTTTTTGACATCAGAGATCTATGTGCCTACTGCAATGACTCATTCTTAAGCTTCAACAGCAGAGGTCCTGATTCTCTTTAAGAGGGACCATCCATGCCAGTTATGTGTAGATTATCTATTAAGTATCTACAAATGGAGAGTTAAGACATTTTATCATTTTTGGATTAGTAATAAGTTAGTGATAGTCAGAAGCCATAACTCTAGTTCTATTCGTTCCAATGAAACCTTTCATAAAGTAGTTTTGTTTTGTTCCAACAGTCTTCAAACTCTCTGTCTTGATGGCAACTTTCTGACTACTTTACCTGAAGAATTGGAAAATCTACAACAGCTTTCCTCCCTGGGAATTTCTTTCAACAACTTTAGTCAAATTCCTGAGGTTTATGAAAAGCTCACTCTATTAGATAAAGTGGTTATGGCAGGAAATTGCCTGGAAGTCCTCAACTTGGGGCTGCTGAGCAGGATTACTCACATCAAGCACGTGGATTTGAGGTGAGGCCATTCTTTACCGTCTCTTCCTTCGAGTTCACTCTGATGGGCCTTTATGTCTTACAAAGACTTCTTTAAAACGTTAGGATTTTAGAATAGTATAGAAATAGATAGTTTGAAAGCTGTAGTACAACTTCATTTGCCACTCAGTAGCAGAGAGATGAAGGATCTGGAAGGTGCCCTACATGATAGAGACCATCAGATAGCCTTGGACAAGGTTGTTCTGATTTATCCTCCCAGCAGCATTTTATGAACATTCACATTTCCTCACATCCTTATTAATGTTGGAGTTTAGCAGTATTTTTCCCTACTTTCAGCCTAGTTGGTGGAAAATAGTATTTCCTTGTTTTAATCAACATTTATTACTTATCAGGAGTGAGGTTGAGCATCCTTTTACATACATATTAGTAGTTTGTTGTTTTCCATAAACTTGACCATTTCTCTGTTGAGTCATTAGATTTCTTCTTGATATCCACTGTATTAAAATGTTAAAGGTGTCACTACTAAGAAATTTTTATGAGTTTTATTTTATAGTCATAATCTTTTCCCAAAGGAATACACTTAATGGATGGTCTGTCATTTACAGTAAGCCACTGATGTGCCTTATAAAGACATAATAAGAGAGAGATTTATTGAAATACAGAGAAGTTAGAATAGACCTACATGCAGTAAATCATACACTTGTATAGAAAGAACCAAAAAGTCGTTTTCTGTAATTTGCCATTGAATTATTCCATATACATACAGATTATTTTCTTCTCCATTAATTAATGTTATGTGAATCTTAGCACTAGAAATAGAATAGGCATAGCTACAGAGGAAATTTGGTTACCTCCTGAGACTCTTGTCATGGTACTCATATGACTGTTTTGCTACTCACTAACCCAAAAGGTTAAGTTTATCTTCTTGTTCGTTTGTCCTACTCTTTAGTCCCTACTTAACCTTATTAGGTATTTAACTGTTTGTGGATAGGGCCCTCTTTATCCTTCCATTTCTTTAATTTGCATATGCATTTGCTAGTCTGGATTGTTTTAACTTAGCAGTACTTTCAATTCTTTGTTTATAAACTATCTGTGGTTATTTATATAATAACTTACAAAATGAGGTAAGAAATCCTTAAATTGTTTAGGAAATAGATAAAGGGATCATACCTCTCCTATTTTTCTTTTGGTAAGCGCATTGAATAGAATTTATTTCTGGTTATTTCCTTGTTTCTGACTATTAAGGATGAACCATTTGAAAACTGTGGTTATTGAAAATCTAGAGGGAAATAAATACATCACCCACATGGATCTCCGGGACAATCAGCTTACTGACTTGGATCTCAGCTCCCTGTGTGGCCTGGAGCAGCTGCACTGTGAGCGGAACCAGCTGAGAGAGCTGACCCTCAGTGGCTTCTCCCTGCGCACTCTCTACGCCAGTTCCAACAGTGAGTTCTCTGTCCAGCCTCCTGTTTCTTCTTTCAGCTCTAGTCGGAGCTTTCTAGGAACAATGACATCTGTGGTGCTTCTCAGCTGCTCTGTAGATGGAGTTTGTAGTTCACTGAGGCCTACCTTTATCTCTTCACTTTGGTGTCAACACTTACGTGGTTGTCACATTCATGAAATGACATGGATACTTTGAGATCTACTTACCGTAGTCAGAGGCATTTTGCAAAATAATGGGGTGTGTGGAGGACATTGGTACTTTGAAATGGGAGTCCACCAACCTCCTCATTTGCTGGCAAATTAATAAACTCCTCTTTCCTTCTCCTCAAAATAAAAAGGTATGGGGAGGTGGGCAAGCGTATTCAAAACAGAGTATCAATATCTAAAACAGGGATGGGTCCTGGGACTGAATCAGGCCAACCATCTCTTTTTGTATGGCCCATAAGGAATGGTTTTTTAATGGTTGGGTAAAAAAAACCCAAAACCAAAAAAGAATAATTTTGTGATATGTGAAAATTATATGAAATTCAGGTTTCTATGTTCATACATAAAGTTTTATTGGAATATAGCCACACTGATTTGTTTACATATTGTTTTCACATTACTGATTTCATGCTACAGTGGCAGAATTGAGTAGTAGTAAGAGAGACTGTATTTGGTCTGCATAGCCTAAAATATCTACTGTTTAGCCTTTTTTTTTTTTTTTTTGAGACAGAGTCTCGCTTTGTTGCCCAGGCTAGAGTGAGTGCCGTGGCATCAGCCTCGCTCACAGCAACCTCAATCTCCTGGGCTCGAGCGATCCTTTTGCCTCAGCCTCCCGAGTAGCTGGGACTACAGGCATGCACCACCATGCCCGGCTAATTTTTTTTTTTATATATATATATCAGTTGGCCAATTAATTTCTTTCTATTTATAGTAGAGACGGGGTCTCGCTCTTGCTCAGGCTGGTTTCGAACTCCTGACCTTGAGCAATCCGCCCGCCTGGCCTCCCAAGAGCTAGGATTACAGGCGTGAGCCACCGCGCCCGGCCTGTTTAGCCTTTTATAGGAAAAGTTTGCCAATGCCTGGTCTAAAAGCTTGTGCTGCCTAAGTGCTAGAATGAGAAGCCCCTTGTTTCAATGAGGATTTGCTTCAAGAATATTTTTCAACATGAAGAGCCTCATGTTTATTGAAACCTTTTCCTCAGCTGAAGAAATATTTAGTTTTAGTAACAGTTTGTGGGTACACAGAGGTCATTGTTTAATTACTTCTTCTGTGTTTAAATGTAGAAAGGAGAAGATGTTCAATTTTTGTCAGAAAAATGCAAATTTAAATAACATTTTATACTTATCAAGTTAAAAAAACATATATGTATATATACAATGCTGAATGTTATCAAAGATAAGGAGAAGGATCTTGCTGAACACTCACACACTGCCAGCGGGAGGCGAAGAACCACCTCATAGATCAACGCTATGTTAGGGAAGTAGAGGACACACATACACCACCTTGTAGCAGTTCCCTGCTTGGATACATCCCAGAGACACCTTACATGTGCACAACATGTGTACAAGAATGTTTTGCACAGCATTGTTTGTGAAAGTGAAGAAATGGGAAAAAATAGGACTATTAATAGGAAAATATATAAATCATCAGTGATGTATTTACACAATATATTGCACAGCAGTAGGAATGAATGTAGTAAGGCTTTGTGTGTTAATATGGATAAATCTCAGAAACACTTTGAGCAAGAAAAGAAAGTGCATCATTATATATATACTATGATAATCATAATCAAATTTAGAATACACAGAAATATTGTTTTCTTAGTTGTAAGTATGCATATAACAATATGGAAGAATCCATGGGAATGATAAAAACCATATTCAGGATGATGTTTACCTCTTGGTATGTGTAGTATTTTCTTTGAAAAAAGTCTGAAGCATGTAAAGCAGAATGTAGATTTGCTTAAGTTAGATAATAGGTGAAAGTGTTTATTATTTTATTCTGTTTACTTTTCTGTAAAATATATTATTAGGATAAAAGAAGACTTCTGTTTGCATGTCTTTTATCAATTAGCAATTAATCTAAGCTTCAAATCGTAGCTTAGGTTATTTGCTTGGTCAGAAGAGTGTTAAAACTGATGAGTGTTGACTTGTGCTACTTATAGATGCTATGATGTGGTAGTAAGTCCTTGCCATGAAGATGTTTGTTACCAGGCCCTTCTCTGTCCTTAATGTGTCTAGAAAGTCTGAATGTGTGGCCCTACTGGAAAAGACCTCATTGATATACATGCACTCGTCCATAGTCATCAGGATTCTGTCACAGCAATGTGCTGAATAGGGTTTGCTTGAGCTTAGCTACTCTATTCACAGAATCCTTAAATTCTTCAACCTGGAAGAATTCACATAGACACTGCAGTACTGATGCCTCAAAGTAAAAAACTCAGCTTTACAAAAGAAGTTATCCAAATGATCAGTTAATACGGGGAAAGGCACTCTACTGGTCTTCAGGGATACGCAAATTGGAACTCCTGTGCGGCACCACTGCATACCTTCCAGAATGACTATAATGGAAAAGACTGAAAATACCAGTAGCAGCTGTTAGAGTATAAATTGGCACAACCACTTTGGAAAATTGTTCAGTAGTGTCTGCTAAAGGTAAACATAAACACACCCTGTACCTAGCAGTTCTTCTCCTAGGCTTATACTCAACAGAAGTGCTGGCCAGGCGTGGTGGCTCACGCCTGTAATCCTAGCACTCTGGGAGGCCGAGGCGGGCGGATTGCTCGAGGTCAGGAGTTCAAAACCAGCCTGAGCAAGAGCGAGACCCTGTCTCTATTATAAAATAGAAATTAATTGGCCAACTAATATATAGAAAAAATTAGCTGGGCATGGTGGCGCATGCCTGTAGTCCCAGCTACTTGGGAGGCTGAGGCAGTAGGATCGCCTGAGCCCGGGAGTTTGAGGTTGCTGTGAGCTAGGCTGACGCCATGGCACTCACTCTAGCCTGGACAACAAAGCGAGACTCTGTCTCAAAAAAAAACCAAAAAGAAAAGAAAAAAAAAAACCAGAAGTGCTTGTATTAGTCTACAAAAGACATGGATGAATATGTTCATAGAAATGCTGTTCATAGTAACCTCAACCTGGAAAAGACTTAAATGCTCATTAACTCTAAAATGGGGTAAATAAATTGTGGCATATTCACATAAAAGAATTAGTCTTTGGTATTTGGAGTCAGGATAGTGTTGCCCTTGCGGGGTAGTGACTAGAAAAGGAGATGAGAAGTTTTTGGAGAACTGATAATGTTGTTTCTTGATCTGAGTATTGGTTCCTAGTGTGTTCAGTTTGTGAAAATTCACTGAATAGTTTTACTTTTCTGTATTTTGTTTATTTTTATTTATTTTATTTTTTTTTTGAGACAGAGTGTCGCTCTGTTGCCTGGGCTAGACTGCCCTGGCATCAGCCTAGCTCACAGCAACCTCCAACTCCTGGGCTCAAGTGATCCTCCTGCCTCAGCCTCCCGAGTAGCTGGGACTACAGGTGCACACCACCATGCCTGGCCAGTTTTTTTTCTATTTTTAGTAGAGACAAGGTATCACTCTTGCTCAGGCTGGTCTCAAACTCCTGAGCTCAAGCGATCCTCCTGCCTCAGCCTCCCAGAGTGCTAAGATTATAGGCGTGAGCCATGGTGCCCAGCCTACTTTTCTGTATTTATGTTATATTTTAATTAAAAGTTAAAATATTGCCAATAAAAATCTAATTTTTTCAAGTTGGAAAGCTAAGTAGTTATTGTTAGCATTTAACAACTGGCTGATCTAGTGTACATCCACTCAATACACAGGATCCTTCAGTTAGCTGTTGCATTTGTTTTTCAAGGCAAATTGGGATCAAATAGTCAGAGTGAGTTACCCAGTGGTTTTTATCTTTAGTTCATCTCAGTAGAGGATGTCAGTTTTCTCTCTGGTGATTTCACTAAGCTACTTCTCTCTTGTTTACTCTCAGTTATTGTCTTCTCTAGATGATGCCACTAACACCTGTTTGTTTTCTGATTAGGGCTGACAGCAGTGAATGTCTATCCAGTACCCAGTCTACTCACTTCCCTAGAACTCTCCCGGTGAGTGTCTCTCTTGAGGGTGGTGCTTGTTTGATCTTACTATTTATGAGATACATGGAGGTACTTTGGCAGTTTTGTGGTACAAAGAAATCTAAACATTGAAATATTGGGATAACCAGGAGAAATGACAAGTGGAAGCCATACTGTATATTAATAGTTATATTAATAGTTAAAGGAAGGATCCTCTTGAAATGGAGAGGTACCTATGAACTACTCAGTCTTTAAAGACTGGATTTAGGATGAGATACACAAAAAGAAGACCTGTTATCTTCATTGCAGTGATTTATTTTTTGTTTACTCAAATCAGATAATTCTTGATTTTTAGTCAGTGGCTTTAAAAAAATTATTCTGTTTTTTTAATACTCTAGTGATTCATGTTGGTCTGATTTTTGGAGAGGCATTAATTATATTCAGGACTTTATTACTTCTATTGGTGGCTAGGAGCAAACAGAAATGAGGTTTTCTTTTCTTTTATTCTTTCGCTTTTAACCCCTGTGTTAGGCGTTCTGGATTTAGCAGTTGGGTTTTACAGTCTAGTGGTGAGATCAACAGTCTAACAAGCAGTTAGTTAGGGGGCAACAGCATACATGCTGTGAGTATAGAATGCCCAAAGCAGGGCCCTATGTGGCCAGGGTTGTTGTGAAGGGTAAATGAGAAAATAAATGCAAAATACATAGCATAGTGTCTGATATGCAATGGTCTCTGGAGAATATTAGTTGTTACAGCCAGGTTTCTCTTCTGGTTATTGTTACTTTATCATTGTTACTAAGTTATGTTTTAGATTCCCTTCTAGCCATTTCTTTCCGTCATATCTTCTCAGCAAAACCCTAGCATGGATAAATACTAAGACTTTACCTTTTCTACTGAGCTTGATCATTGCTGAAGAAAATCACAAACAGATGGACATCACTACAAATTCATAATATACATGCTTTTCTGGAGCTTATTGGCCCTTTCTCTTGCCAGCTCCTTCTAGTATCCTCAGCGTCTGTTCCAAATTGCTCTCCTTCCCTGCTCCCACCCCGTCTCCTCCAGGCTGGAGCTCAGCTTCCCCTACCACCTTGCTTGAGTTTCTGTGGACTCATATTCACCCTCAGCTTCTGTCCTCTGTCCGAGGCTGGTCCAGCTGTCTGTGTGGCCCCCTCTGCTCCCACCGCTCTGCCTGCTTGGTCTGCCCTCCTCCTCCTCTCTCAGGTGTGTTCAGTGTCTTCCTTTTTCTCAGTCTGTGCACACACTGACAGCAGTTCTGTCATGACAAACAAAAAAGTTCCCTTGACCTCATGGCTCCTCTAGCTACTGTCTAATCCAGCTCATCCCCTTTTTGTCCAGATTTCTCAAGAATTATTTGCATTTGTTAACTTGGTTTCCTCAGTTCCCATTTGCTGATCCCACCAACAGCATGGTTCAGACCTTCTCTTATTGGAACTTTTCTGCGGTGACACAGTTAACCTTGCTCTCTTTTCTTCAAACACACTATTTCCTTGGCTGGCTAATATGATCTGATTCCTTCTGGCCATTCCTGCTGTCCTTTTGGATACTCCTCCTCCTCAGCTAGCCCTCTAAAGGTCGAATATCCCCAGGGTTCTGTCTGTGCTCCACTCTGCCTCGCTGGCCATGACCTCATTCACTCCAGTGATTTCAGCTGCTCTTAAGTGTCGGCGGCACCCAGCTCGCCAGCCCAGCTCTTCCCCAGCTGCTGCGGCATCCCCAGCTGCCTGTTTCCCCACACGTGTCACGCCGTGGTCTTGTTTCTGTGGTCTAGTTCCTGTTGCCACCCTGTGCTTGGAACGGGCTCCTCAACTCAGGTCACTGTACAGTATTCTTCAAATTCTAACTCAGATACCGTATTTCTTAGGGAGCTTGCCTTGATCCATCGCAGGCTGTTTCCTCCACTAGACTAACGGCAGTATCTGTGTTTTTCTCATGTAGCACTGACTTCATCCTGCCTCATTTTATCCTCAATAGATACCTTGAGGCCTAGAGAAGCCAAGTCACATCTGAAAATAAAATTTCTTTTATTCAGTTTCTGCTGAGCACTTTTCTAAATAGTTGAGCTCAAATTCTAAGTGGTTTGAAACTTTTTCACCCACTAGTTATCTTTTGTCCCTACTTTGTCACTTCTGTTCATTCCGTTCATTTTCCCTGGAATTTGCTTCTCGTCTCCCCCAGCCATTCCCTGTGAAACTCCTGCTTGTCTTCAAAATTTTGTTTAAAATGCCACTTCCAGTAAGTCTTTCCTCTTCTCGCCCTCATCCCACCCCGCCATATGTGTGCTTTCCTACTGCCGAAAGCCTTTGTACTTTTTTGGGCATATAGCATAATTGATCCAATATTATACATATTCATGTACTTGTCTCTGCCCACCCTTCTCCCATCCAAGTACCAACCAGGCCCGGCCCTGCTTAGCTTCTGAGATCAGAGGAGATCGGGCGCATTCAGGGTGGTATGGCCCTAGACTGCCCACCCTTCTAATACAACAGCATTCACTGAGCACCTACTGTGTTCCAGGTGCTATACCAGGGGATGTCCTGGAGATAGTGTCCCTGCCCTCACAGCGGCTCACAGGCTGCTTAACAGAGACATTACAGTCTAGTGAAATGAGTCCCACTTGTCATCTTAAAATGATGCCTTTCAATTATGTATTTTCTGCAGAAACCTGCTAGAATGTGTTCCTGACTGGGCCTGTGACTCAAAGAAGATAGAAATATTAGATATGAGCTATAATCTTCTCACAGAGGTTCCTGTGAGGTATGTGTGTGTGTGAATACATATGTATGTGTATGTATTATTTTTCTAGGTTTGTGTTGTCTTTCATTTGTTCAGTGAATAAGGATGCCTGCTGAGTCTGAGGCAGTGTGATGTGCTGTAAGGAATATAGTAATGGCTAATGCATAGTGCTGGACTGCAAGGAACTTAATAAGAGGATAGCGTGGCATATACACAGATAACTGTTATAAAATGTTCCGAGAGGTGCTGGCGTAGGTTGGTGGTAATAGTTAATTTTTATAGGATGAGTTATTATGAGCTGGGCAATGTCCTAAGAACTTCACTTTTATTATCTTACCTAATCTTTTAAAAACCCTACTATATGGGTGCTGTCATCCTAGGCCAGGCATGGTGGCCCACATCTGTAATCGTAGCACTTTGGGAGCCCGAGGTGGGAGGATTGCTTGAGCCCAGGAGTTCAGTGCACTCCAGCTCAGGCAACGGAGCAAGGCCCTATCTCAAAAAAAAAAAAAAAAAAGGAAACTAAGGCTTAGAGCTGTTAGGTAACTTGTCCAAGGTTGCATTTAACTAGTAAGTGATGGGAGCTGGCATTTGGATGGAGTCATTTTTACTCCAGAGCCTTCACTCTTAATAACTACACTGTATAAATTAGATGTTTTAGAAATTCAGAAGTACTTTGAGAATTAGAGAATGTTTCATGGAAAAGATGGCATTTGAATTGACCTTTACCAGATGGTGGGATTTCTCCAAGTGGAGGGGGAAACAGTGATGTTTGAGGCTGGGGGGAGGGGAATGATATTCAAAAGCCCTGAGATATAAAATGTGTAGTTATTACCTAATGGTCTTTAAAATTAAACTCTAAAGGCGTTGTAGCATAGTAGGTATGAAAACATAGTAGGTATGGAGTCAGACGTTAGTTGAAATCCAGACTGTATCATTTACTGTTCAGTGTGAGATCTTTGGCAAAACAAGGTCACTTAACCTTTCTGAGCTTTATTGTACATGGCTTAGCACATTTTAAGCACTCAATAAATGATAATTTTTATTGTAATGAAATTTGTTGTGAATTTATTATATTAATAAGTTATATTAATAGTAATACATATGCTAAATTTCTGGTGCTGTTTAGACCTAAAATCTAAATTTATTCTAGAAATTGCTTTTTTAGTTTAGCTCTCCTCTGTGCTGTTTGATGTCACTAATTCACCTTTTCTCACAATGACCTTAACGACTTCCTGGTGGGTGGTGGGTAAACAGATGGTCGTGGTTGCTTTCTTGGCTCAAGTAGGCTCGAGCATTTGTCGGTGATTATACAGTCTAGAAGAATATATTTCTATTAGCTTACTGATTTAAGTTAAATAGCCTGGGACACACTCAGAGAGATTTAAGTAAGATTGTTTCTTTGTTCTGTTCCCTGTTAGAATTCTGAGCAGCTTGAGCCTTAGGAAACTGATGGTGGGCCACAATCACCTGCAGAGCCTGCCGGCGCTGGTGGAGCACATCCCCCTGGAGGTGCTGGATGTTCAGCATAACGTGCTCACCAGGCTGCCAGACACTCTCTTCTCCAAGGCCTTAAAGTAAGTACCATTGGATTTTTTCTCAGAAAAGCAGAAACATCGGCTAGACAAACTGCAGTGACTTGTTATTGGAGTGACCTTTGGAACTATATTTACAGAGACTTTACCTGATAGTCCGACTATGGGTGGAAACATACTTACAACTTTTATGAAAGGATATATGACACTGCTTCATGAGGCAGTAATCTTTAACTCAAAGTCGAAATGACCATCAAATGCTTAAGAAATTTTTGTGTTGTAAACAATTTTAGACAGTTTGGGAAGGTTCAGGCATTCATCTCAGAAAATAAACATAGTTGTGACATTTAAAGAAAAATTATAACATTCTGATACACCTTCCTTCAGCAGTTTTCAGCTTTTGCATTGGAGAGAAAAGGGTATACCAGTGGTGCCCACCCTTTTTGAAACCAGGGCCCAGTTTTGTGGAAGACAGTTCTTCCACTGACAGTGAGGGGAGGGTTGACTCGCTGCCTTGGCTCCACCTCAGATCATCAGGCATTGGATTCTTATGGGGATTGCTGCAAGCTGAATCCCTCCCATGCTTAGTTTCATGCTCCTATGGGGGTCTGATGCTGCTGCTGATCTGCTGGGGGGCGGGGCTGGGCGGTGATGCGCACAATGGGAGCAGCTGTGGGTGCAGGCAAGGCTTTGCCAGCTTCCTGCTGTGCAGCTGTTTCTGGCCTGTGGCCGGAGGGTTGGGGACTGCAAGGATATACCACAAAAATTAATTTGGTTTTTGCTTCTAGCTTTACCAAACTATGCTTGAGTTACATTCTTTATTAGGAAAGCTTTTTTGCTACTTAATTTGAAAACTATGTATTTAAAGGTAGTATCCTTCCAAAAGGTGTTACTTGCCTTCCCACTGTAATTAGCACATAGATGGTGTATCTTCTCATTTTAGGGGAAGGGTTTACCTATAGTGTATGTCATCTCTAAATGAAAACTAGTTTTTTATTATAGTCTTCTGCAATATTTTCTTCAATTTAGAAGTATAGAAAACAGAGATAAGCAGTAGTAAATTAACAGGAGACATGCCCAAAGTGGTCATGTCAAAGAACAAGTAGCCAGCTTGTTCTCTTTAGCAGCTTATTCATCTCTTTATATAATACAATTGGTTGGTTATTCCTTAAAATAAAATCTTTGGAAATTTTACAAAATATTTGAAGAAAATTTTCTTTTTGTAAAGTTTATATGGAGTCTTGATACAGTTATTAATTAACAAGTATTTGTTAGCAATGCATAACACTTTTCTTAGTCTTAATGATAGTATAAATTAAATTAGTTTACAACCTTAGTATCTATAGTAAGGAAGTTACTTAGCTATGGCAAACTGTCAATGGTATTTAATACCAACCCTGCACAGAGCATTTTTGGGACAAAGACGCAAGTTATACAGTACCCTTAATAAACTTAAAAGCTGATTAGGTATGTACAACTTCTATGTATCAATTTAGAAAATCTAGTTAGGGATGTGGATCACACAACATGGAGTTTTAAGAACACATAAGTTTCATACTATTAGCTGCCTTTTATTGAGAATGTTCTATATGTACTGAGCACTGTATTAGGGAGAGTTTAAAATTATACTGTGTTTTGGCTATTAGATTGGCAAAGATTAAAATGAATTGTAATGCTCAGCGTTGACAGAGGTGTGAGCAAACTGACACTTTTATATTCTTGTGAAAGTGTAATTTTGTATATCCTTTCGAGGGCTCAGTTTGGCAATATATTGAAAAATCCTTAAAAAATATATATCCTTTGATCCTGCAAATTCTGGATTGGCTAAATAAATAATGATGCTATTAAAACCAGACAAAAATGTTTCTGAAGGGTCCCTTTATAGTTTATGTGAGCATGGTACTCAACCATGTCCTTTCAGTAGACACACAGACAGTAATAACAGTCAAAGATCAAGCTAGATTAGAATCAGGCCAACCCAGAAGCCTGGGTACAACCAAGCCGGTATTCTTTCCTCTCTACTTAGCTTGTATAAGTTGAGTAAAATGAGCTTTGAGTTGGATAAAATCAATTAGAGAAAAAACTACCTGAAGAAAATTACTTTTTTTTTTTATAAACATGGGAGCTTGGAATGGCAGCATACCATACAGAGATGACAAGATGGTTTCTATGAAGGAATGCAACAAATATACTCTCTGTGTGTTCTGTCAGTCTCAGATACTTGAATGCATCTGCAAATAGTTTGGAGTCTTTACCATCGGCCTGTGCCGGGGAGGAGAGCCTGAGTATGCTGCAGCTGCTGTATTTGAGCAGCAATCTCCTGACGGATCAGTGCATACCTGTCCTGGTCGGACACCCTCACCTGAGGATCTTGCACCTTGCAAACAACCAGCTACAGACCTTTCCTGCAAGGTAAATGAATGCAAACTTGGATCGTTTCAGATACGCGACATTAAATTGTACATTTGTCAGGCTAACGTAGCTATCTGACTATGACTGTTGCTTTTTGTTGACTGACTTAACTGATGCTGTGATTTCACTAGTTTAGTTGGAAAATCTTAATAGTTTATACCCAGTTCAGTATCAGTAACCAGAGAAATCATGGTTAAAATGTATTTAATTTTTATTTCTTTAAATTTTTAATATTTTTTTGTTTTTAGTAGAGATGGGGTCTCGCTCTTGCGCAGGCTGGTCTCGAACTCCTGAGCTCAAGCAATCGTCCTGCCTTGGTCTTAGGATTACAGGCGTGAGCCACCATGCCCGGCCAAAAAATATGTTTAATTTTTAGTTCTAATTATTTAATAATGGAGAATACTCAACCTAGAAAAGTTCAGGCTTGTTGAGTCTGTTAATTTATTCGTAATATATACATTGAATGCCTGCTGTATGCCAAGTACTATTATAAGAGTTATAGTCTGTGACCTCAGGAAATTTGCAGTCAAGTTGAGGAAATAGACAAGTATCTAGAGTATTGTAGTGCAGTCTAATAAAGGCAGGATTTTAAAGAAGATAAGCACATGTTAATGGCTGCACTGCACAGAGCCTGGGGGGTGTCATTAGGCTTCCTCAAAGAAGAGATGAATAGTAGTTAGCCAGGCTACATGTATCAAATGACCTAAGAGAGATGTTTAATGCTATCAACATTTTAGACTGTGTCAGTGGAGAAGTAAATATCTTTCAAAATGCATTGATAAAATAAATTTGGAATTTTTTTAAAGAGACAGGCTTTTGCTATGTTGCCCAGGCTAGCCTTGAACTCTTGGGCTCAAGTGGTCCTCCTACCTCAGCCTCCCAAGTAGCTGGGACTACAGATGCTCACCACTGCACTGGCTAATAATTGGAAAATTTACTGCCAGAAAAATCCATCTAAACCATGAAAATATTTTTAAAAACTAGGAACATGAGAAAATGTAATTTGGATGAAATTAGGTATATCATATAAAATTGTAATTTTTGTGAGCATTTATAAAATGAGATAGAGCTTCAGATGACAAGCAGGATAAACTTGATTGCTTCCTTGAAAGAATTCAAATAATGACTTTTAAAATGAATGCCGAATCTTAATTTCAGGAAGTGTAGATCTGTTGGAATCTTACCAGATTAGTTTAGTTGGCCTCAAATATGTTCATATAAAGTGAAAATAACAGACTGCTCACAAGTTATACTAGTTTATGAAGCTGCTAGGTGGTACCAGGTATAATACTCCGAAACTAATGAATCTCGCCTAATTTGATGACACTTTTATTGTTGAAGGGGTCAAAAGCAGGTTGATATAAAACTTAAAACATTAAAATGAAAATAAGAGGTATTAGTAGTAAAGACAAGAATTAACAGGAGGTCACACAAAATTAGAGTAATCTGAATATACGTAATAAAGCTAATGGAATTTAGGAGCAGCATATCGAAGAAAATGTATATTCTGTATTGAATAATAAATCCACTATGAGATCATTTCCTGAGCAGTGTTATAATTGTACAGGCACAGTATAGATCTTGTTTCTTTTGGACTGTTTTCAGGAACTAGCACAGTTCTGAGTACTCAGTAAGAAATTGATTGAGGTATGGGTGCTGCATTTTTATTTACAAGTCAAAAATCTAGGCAGGGAGTAGTATAAAGGGAAAACATGAGATTTGGACATGGGAACATTTTTAAATACTTTATTAAGTAAAAAAAAAAAAAGCAAGTTAAAAACAATATATTTAATATAGCACCATTTTTTAACTTGAAAATACAGTTTCATACCCTAAAAAAGACAATAAAACGTTTTACCAAAATGTCATCAGAGATTATCTCTGATAGTAGACTGAAAATAATTTTTTTTCTGTTTGTCTCTATTTTTCAATTTTTTTCTACGTGGATATATTACTATAAGAAACATTTTAATTTACTAAGCTTACTTGTTAAAAAGTATTTTCAAATTTTCTAGCAATAAAAATATGTTATATGAAAAAGATAAGATAAAACTTATGTAAAACAAATATTCATATGAAAAATTTGGTAGAAAATTCAGCAAAATGATCATAGTAATTCTTTCAAATTGCTTGTATTGTTAGTGATTTATTTTCTTTATTTTTCCAAACTTTCTCTCCATGTTACAGCAGTTTATTTTTATATTTTTTTAAACCAATAAATCAAAAGAAATAACAATTTGTAATAATCTGGATAATGGTGTTAGGCTGACTGTAAGTATTTTGCTTACCTCGTAGAAAGTATTGCTTAGTCAGTGGAGGAATAGGAATCATTTGCCACACAGGCCTGAACACAGGGACTTGATAGGGACTTGATAAATGTTTAGTGGAGATGAATTATGTTACGAACAAGTAACTGTAGAAATTTAAACTGTAAGGAACCTTAGTGATGATTTTAGTACAACTTTTTTTTTTATAGGTGAGGTTATTGAAGTCCACTGAACTTAACTTGCCCAATATTTTGCAGCTAGATAGTAGGGAAGCAGGCATCGGGACTAATCTCCCAATTCTAGGCCAATCCTTTTTTAGCCACTCCCTATAAGTTAGATAACAGGGAGATGATCAGGCCCACAAGATCCAACAACTGTAAGAAAAGCAAGGGATGCGTCAGTGTTTGAAACACACTGAGGGACAGACAGATTAGGCTGACATGGAGCAGGAGTGGTTATCTCGGTGAGCCACCGCCTTCGCTGCTATCTACTTAATTCTCACCAGTCATCTGGCAGTGCACCAGGTCAGCCTTCTGTACTCGGTGGTTGTTATAAAATAGCACCTGCTTGCTAGGTAGCTGATTGTATTTGGTACAGTGTAGTATTTTGATTTTTCTTTTTCAGCAAACTAAATAAATTGGAGCAATTGGAGGAACTGAACCTAAGTGGCAATAAGCTTAAAACCATTCCCACAACCATAGCAAACTGCAAAAGGCTGCACACCCTTGTCGCACACTCCAACAACATCAGCATCTTCCCTGAAATACTGCAGTTGCCTCAGATTCAGGTACTTCTGTGTGCTGGAATGATGATGAAATGGCAGGAGTGTGAATGAGATTATTCTCACAAGGAAGAAATATTATTCTCTTCTCGTGTACTCAGTATGGGATGAGTGTATGTAATTGATTCCTGGGAAGAAATTTAAGTTCTGCTTTGGGGATATAGTAGGAGATTGAACATTTGGGAGTAAAGAACTAACTCACTGTGATGTATTTTCTTTTGATTTCTCCGTTTCTTCTTAGTTTGTAGACCTGAGTTGCAATGACTTGACAGAAATCCTGATTCCGGAGGCACTGCCCGTTACGTTACAAGACCTTGACCTGACTGGAAATACAAACCTGGTTCTGGAACACAAGACTTTGGACATATTTAGGTAGCAAAATTTTGAAATTGAATCTGTTTTTGCTCTTAGGTCTTCCAGCCATGTGCGGGTCTTCTGTAGGACTAATTAAATGAATAATTAATTAAATTATTCATTAATTTAATTAATGATTAAATTAATTAATTAAATGAATAGAATGAATTAGACCATAATGCCCCTAGGTTCTTTTCTTGGATTCAGTTATGAATGGATGTTCTATCCAGTAGTCAGTCTATTTTTAATAGACATGGCCACTACCTAGCCACACACTGAATATTTTCACATGACAGGAATAGATGTTTTAGGTGGCACAGCATCTTAGAGACAATACAAGTTCATTCATTATACCAAGACTTCATTTTGTCAGCTGGCTGAAACTTAAGAGATCTTTTTTGTGCTTAGTTTTTTACTGCAACAAACGGCATTAATTATAGCAATATTGGCTCCTATTTCTTCTTCCCTTTTCCTTTCTCTCTTCTCCTCCTTGGCCAGGAGTTCAGCATACTACTTTCATTCAATCTCTCTGGAAGTGCATCTTAGTCTGTCAACAGATTATTTTATAAAAAGCTGTATTATTGTTGGGATAGTTTTTGTAAAATATGGAAGAATATACTGTTTAATCTTCCCTTCCTCCACTTCCCACAGCCATATCACAACCCTGAAAATTGATCAGAAACCTTTGCCAACCACAGATTCTACAGTTACATCAACCTTCTGGAGCCATGGACTGGCAGAAATGGCAGGGCAGAGAAATAAGTGAGTTGGTGGTGGAGACTGAGAAAGAAAAAAGGCAGCCCCTGGCATGTGGGAATTGGTCTGAGGCCCACAGTTAGGTCATGTTGTTCTCCTTTTGCCCATAAATCACAAATGTCAGTGTTGGATAAAATCCCTCTGAGACCATAATAAAGGGAGACAAAAAGGATGAATGTAACACTCCCTTTCATGGCTAAAATGGGTTAATGCTACTTTCTTTGCCAATTATAGCTTTACCATTCTGCTAATATTTGTTCCATGTAGATAAGATATATTGAGATACCCAACCGAAGAACAGCCCCGCTTTCTGCCAGCACCCAATCTAGTATGATCATCCACCCCCCTTAGACCCTCTGCAGAATGACCCTGCCAAAGCCCCAAACCTATACTAGGTTCTTCCCAGCACTCTCTTACCTATATACCCCGGGGTTCCATGGTGAACATTCTCTTGCTGCAAGGAGTAATAAATTCAACTTGTTCAAGCACAGGTGGTGTGCTTTGGTGGTCTCCGGCTGAAGGTTCTTGACAAAACTAGTCCTTCATTACTACTAAGAGAAAACATTTTATCTTTCCAGCCTGTGGCAGCATCACAATGCTAATAAGTACTGCCCATGAATGTGGCTGAATTTCCCCTTTGCTTAGAATATCAGCTTTTCCAGATGCTGCTAAAGTATCATATCTAGGGACTTTTTTTGTGTGTAGATTATGATTTACTGCTAGTCTTCTCCACTTTCAGTTAATAGTTGCTTTTTAAAAGAATGCTCCCTGATGAATAATCTTTACTGATAACTTTCTTTGATGATTGTCTTTCTCCTATTTGTGCCATAGGCTATGTGTTTCTGCTCTCGCCATGGATAACTTTGCGGAGGGAGTGGGAGCTGTGTACGGCATGTTTGATGGGGACCGAAACGAGGAGCTGCCTCGCCTGCTCCAGTGTACGATGGCAGATGTGCTTTTGGAAGAGGTGCAGCAGTCAGCAAATGACATGGTTTTCATGGCTAACACCTTCTTGGTGTCTCACAGGTAAGCAGGTGGGTTGAATAATCCCTGACTCACTTCTGCTTTTGCAAAGTAAATCTCTCTAAACCAGGTCAGGGTCTACATTATGAATGCAAGGTCAAGGAGAGATCTCAGTACTTCCTCCACAATCATCCTCTCTGTGTATCAGCATGGAGTGCGGGGATTTGGCTCTTTGAAGAGCCTGTGGAGTCTTTCGTTTTCTCTGTTGAACCCAAAAGCTGCTGAAGGCTGGGAAGCCTAGAATTTATGTGCAAAATGTTGTCTGTGTGTATATGTGGCTGTACATTTGGGGAAAGAAGGTGGTAAGCTTTCATAAGATTGTCCAAAGAGTCAGTAATCTACTAAAAGATTAACAAGCATTCATCAATTCATATATTTAGAATACTTGTTATTGGGGGTTTACATAGCTAATCTTCTAATTAAAGTCTAAATCACTTAAGGGCAAAAACCCTATACAGTTATGTCCTGATAAACTCTTGTAAGTTGAAAAAAGTGCATTTAATACACCTAACCTGCCAAACATCATAGCTTAGCCTAACCCACCTTAAATGTACCCAGAACACTTATATTAGCCTACAGTTGGGCAAAGTCTTCTGGCAACACTACACCGTAGAACAGGCGTCTTCAAACTACAGCCTTCGGGCAACATGTGGCCCACTGAGGACATTTATCCAGCGTACCAGGTGTTTATGCCGCCGCTGCCTGTCCTGCTTAGCAGCTGACTGGTCCTGGGCCCGCAGTGCGCATGTGTGGAATGTGTGCCGCACTCTCCAACGGCCCTCCAACGGTCTAAGGGACAGTGAACTGGCCCCGTTTAAAAAGTTTGAGGACCCCTGCTGTAGAATATCGGTCATATTCCTCCCGTGAGTGCGTGGCTGACAGCGAGCTGTGGCTCACTGCTGCTGCCTAGCCTGGTGAGAGAGGGTTGTGCTGCATATCACTAGCCCGGGAAAAGATCAAAATTGAAAGTACAGTTTCTGCTGATTGCATATAGTGTTGTTTTAGCACCATCATGACGTTGCAGAATTGTAAGGCATACTACTGTAAGTCAGGGACCTTCTGTATAAGCAAACAGTGATGGAGCTTTGTGCACATCAGGTGGGCTGCACAGAGGATGTGAACAACTGAGAGATTGTCAACTTGTATAATCAAGGCTGAAATGGAACAGCCTGGAGCTTGAACTCGTTTTATCTCCCGTTATAACACAAAGCCAGGTGTTGGGAAAGGAGTCTGTTTTGCAGTAGTAGAATTGAGCAGGAGATTGGCAAAATAAAGGGTACGTGAATAGGAACTCAATCTGTGAAGTACCTTTCAAGAGCTCAGCACGTACCAAGTATTTTTTATACTGTATTTTTAATTTTCAAAACAAACCAGAGGGGTAGGTATTTTATCTGAGACATTTCTTAGAGAAATAACCTGCTAAGTCTACAAGCCAAGAGATGGCAGAGCTGGAATTTGAAATTAGATCTAATAGTGTCTGCTCCTTGTTGGCATTGAGCACTAATAAGTGTAAGTGTGTGGATGCCACGTGTATGGGGGAAATACAAGGAAAATTATGGTCCTTTTCAAGAAACTTACAACTGAGTGATTCTCAAAGTGGTGTTCTAGGACCAGTAGATTCAGCATCACCAGCACTTGTGAGAAACGTGGATTACAGGGCCAGCCCCTTAAACTCACTAAATCAGAAACCAGGGTGGGACCCAGCAGTCCCTGCTCTAACAAGCCCACCAGGTGGTTCTGATGTGCTAAAGTGTGGGAACCTCTGAATTAGGAAGTCTGTGATCAGATACAGAAGAAGCAGAGAAAGATGCACCTTCACTGTCTCCCCAACCCTGTCCCCTCTCTTCCCCCATTCCCCCCTCCACCTTTTGTAAAAGCTCTTTTCTCAGTCAGCTGAGAGTGGATGGCAAAGCTCTCTTTACCACCATCACCCATAGCAAGAGTCTGCTGTTACGTAGGTAAAGGTGAGGCTGGTTCACAATCACAGGGCGGAAAAGCAAGGAAAGGACAGACGTGAAGGACCACCACTTCCTTCCGAAACTAGCTACCATATCTTCAATTTCTTTTCTTTCTAAACAGGAAATTAGGAATGGCCGGCCAGAAGCTGGGTTCCTCTGCCCTCCTATGCTACATCCGCCCCGACACTGCCGACCCAGCGAGCAGCTTTAGCTTGACTGTGGCCAACGTTGGTACATGCCAAGCAGTCCTGTGCCGAAGTGGGAAGCCACTGCCCCTTTCTAAAGTCTTCAGCCTGGAGCAGGACCCAGAGGAGGCACAAAGGGTGAAGGAACAAAAAGCCATCATTACAGAGGTGTGTCTCCCTCTCTGCCTGTCACTTCCACCTCCAGATCCAGTGATCAGTTGTGCTATGCACAGAAGTGATGAAAGTCCACTTTCTTCCTGTTACGCCTTGTAAATAGTATCCAATCCAGATAAAAGTTCAATTCAGATGGTTTCAGTAATAGTACTAGAAGAAAATCAACTGAGCTGTTAGTAACTAGCAAAAAGAAAAAGCAAAATGAATCAGATATGAAAAATCCTAACTTGTGATCCTTTAAATGCATAGCTAACATGTAATGTGTATGTTGAGTGTGTTTCCCTTAGCTAATTTCCAACTCATCTGATTTGTTTTTCCAAACAGAAGTGTTCTATAGTTTGATGTCCCCATTCCGAAATGTGACATTACAAAGTATTTTTCCTGTTTATACTGTATATGGCTTACTATGCTCTAGTGTTCTTTTTTAATAATGAAGCATCAATATTTCTACTCTATTATAGCTTTTTTCCTTTTTTAGAAATTAGCATAACACCTTCGCTATCAAATAACTTTAGCAATTACATATGAACATTGTTTATTGCAAAGCAGTATTCTGTTCATATCTTTTGCCCATTTTAAATTGGATTGTTTATTTATTGTTGCGTTTTAAGAGTTCTTTGTATAATTTGTAAAGAAGTCCTTTATCAGAAATGTGTTTTGCAGCTATTTTCTCCCAGTCTGGGGCATGTCCATTCTTTTAAGTGTTTTCTGCGAAGCAGAAGTTTTGGTTTTAATGAAGGCCCACTTGTCAATTTTTTTCTTTCATGGATCATGCTTTTGGTGTATATAGGAACTCATTGCCAAACTCAAAGTCACCTAGATTTCCTTCTATGTTACCTTCTAGAAGTTTTATGGTCTTGTGTTTTGTCTTTTTTTTAGTCTTGTGTTTTATATTAATATTTAGGTCTGTGGTCCATTTTGAGGTTAATTTTTGTGAAAGTATAAGCTCTGTGTCTGGAGTCACGTTTTTGCATGTGGATGTCTAGTTGTTCCAGCACCACTTGTTGAAAAGACTGTCCTTTCTCCATTTGAATTGCCTTTGCTTCCTTGTCCAAGATCAGTTGACTGTATTTGTATAGGCTGCTACTTGTGGGCTCTCTATTTTTCAGAATTCTGTATAAGGGCTATCCATCTTAGGTTCCATCTGAGGAAACACGAAACTGAAAAGTATCATTACAATGTGGTTGATAGTGTTAGGATTCCAAAATATGAGGCATTAGTTTTAGGAGGGTCTTAGTCAAAACAAATGAAAGATAAAAGATAACTTTTTAAATTTAAATATTTATTTACTTATTTTTTGAGTTGTTGCCCAGGCTGAACTCAAACTCCTGGGCTCAAGTGATCCTCCCTCCTTAACCTCCCAAGTAGCTGGGACTATAGGTGTGTGCCACCACACCTGGCTTAATGTAACTTTTTTTTTTTTTTTTGACTACACTGTTTTTATAGACTTTAAATAATATTGTTTACATTATTCTTAGGGGGGTCTTAGACAAGTAGAAAATATTTTTATAAATGTTATTTTAACCACAAACATTGTCTATTATTTGCCAAACTTTATGGAGTTTTTGTTTGTTTTCTTGATAAATCAACACAAAGTATCTGGCTTATGAACATTCCCAACCTGCAAGCAGGGTTATTCCTTTTCCTCTAGGTGTCAAATGACATGGGTTCTGATTCAATGTGCTGTTTATTCTCAGTTCAATCCTTACAGAGTAGGTAAATCGTGCTGCAGGTTTCACACTCTCCGTTTTTAGGCTGAGTAATCTTAGAGATTATTTGATGCTTTAGCTACCAAGATTTTCGTAGCCATTTGATATCTTTTCAGTCCTAGTTGTGCCTTTAAATGAGGAGTCATTTTTAGTGACCCATCTGTGAGTTTTGGCCTCTCTGGAGAGTACTAGTGATGGAGAATTAATGGCAATTCTGCCTATTGTTTTCCTAACACACGTTTCTCTATTTAAGGTCATGCCGAGGCCTGACCTTCATGTTAGAGCAAATACCTTTTCAGATAGTGGTGCCTTTAGTCACTTAATTGAATTGAATTGAATTTTAGTCCTTTGAAGTATTTGGTATAATAACTGTGTAGTGTTTTGCCTTTTGAGACTTCTCTACATTCATTTTTAAAGTACACTTAAAATTACACTGTTTCATAGGGAAAAATCATATAAATTGTATTTTATTGAGGATCTGTAAGCACTGTGGTCTAGAAATATAGAAAGTGGCATATCACAGCTGCTTGTTTCTCACAGTTTGGTTCTGCTCATCTCTAGGACAACAAAGTGAATGGGGTCACCTGCTGTACCCGGATGCTGGGCTGTACATACCTCTACCCCTGGATCCTCCCCAAGCCCCACATTTCTTCCACTCCACTGACCATTCAAGATGAGTTGTTGATTCTAGGAAACAAAGCATTATGGGAACACTTGTCCTATACAGAAGCTGTCAACGCAGTGCGTCATGTCCAAGACCCGTTAGCAGCTGCCAAGAAGCTGTGTACGTTAGCACAGAGCTATGGTTGTCAGGACAATGTAGGGGCGATGGTGGTTTATTTGAACATTGGTGAGGAAGGCTGCACTTGCGAAATGAATGGGCTCACCCTCCCAGGTCCTGTGGGATTCGCGTCCACCACCACCATCAAAGATGCGCCCAAGCCCACCACTCCCTCCTCTAGCAGTGGGATTGCCTCTGAGTTCAGCAGCGAGATGTCCACCTCGGAGGTGAGCAGTGAAGTGGGCTCCACCGCGTCCGACGAGCATAATGCCGCAGGCCTGGATGCCGCCTTGCTTCCACGGCCAGAGCGGCGCTGCAGCCTTCATCCCGCGCCCACCTCGGGGGGTTTTCAGCGTCAGCCCTCTTGTGCCACCTTCTCCAGTAATCAGTCTGATAATGGCTTGGACAGCGATGATGACCAGCCTGTTGAAGGGGTCATCACCAATGGCAGCAAGGTGGAAGTTGAGGTAGACATCCACTGCTGCAGAGGAAGAGATCTTGAGAGCTCTCCTGCTCGTGCAGAGAATCCTCCCGCCCTGTGTCCTGAGGAACATGCTAGAGGGTTGGGTTTTGGGATCCGAAGGCAGAACAGTGTGACTAGTGGCATACTTCTGCCAGGGAGTAAGGACAAGATGGAGTTACAGAAGTCTCCCTCCACTTCCTGTCTCTATGGGAAGAAACTCTCCAACGGCTCTATCGTGCCCCTAGAAGACAGCCTGAACCTCATTGAAGTGGCCACAGAAGCACCCAAGAGGAAGACTGGCTATTTTGCTGCACCCACTCAGCTGGAACCAGAGGATCAGTTTGTTGTACCTCGTGACCTGGAAGAAGAAGTGAAGGAACAAATGAAACAGCACCAGGAAAGCAGGCTCGAGCCCGAGCCCAACGATGAGGATCGGACCGAGCCCCCAGAGGAGTTTGACACTGCGCTGTGACTCCGCCCCGACGTGGGCACGACGTGGGCGCAGGCTGTGTGCCGTTGCTGTGGGGCCCTGCCAGCGGCATTTTGCCTCTGCATTTCTTAACCACAGACGTGCGGGTAGAACTCGGAGCCAAAGGGCGAGAGTGACCAGGGTCTGGCTCTGGATGAGCTAGCAGCCACCGTCAGTGTTAAGTGTCCCGTGGAACCTGCGTTGGAATTCCCAGAATTGCTGGGAAGGAAGCAGCTGTTCTGTGTCAGTCCTACCACCTGCCATTAACCCTTTCTCTCCTAGGATCATTTTGAGAATTTGCCTGCCTGGGCAGGAAAGGGACTATTTCTGTGGAGGAAATAACTGAAGGTTGATTCCCTTTACTAATTGCTGCTGATGGATCTCTGTGACAGAGAAATCACCTTATCTCTCAGACTAACTCATGGGGTATGATGTGACTAGTCACATGGCTTTTCATTCTTCTCTACGAGAATACAGCCTATCAAAATGATGTCTATTGGAAATGTAGAACCAATCAAACAATTAATTTATGTATGTAATGTAATGAGAGCACTTTTCATTGACTGTGAACTTTTTATTTTTGAATCTGCACTCGAGCCAATCTTCTTAGAGGCAGCCGGGCACCTCTGTCCACAGGCAGAGAGCGCTAGTCGGGTGTTGTAGCCTTATCTGAGGGTACGAGGGAGGGCCCTGGGAACTGGTTTAACTGTCGGATGTCAGACTGTTAAAGCTCCTGGGAAACTTGGGGTGGTAGGATCTTCTTGTGGGGATGAAGATGGGGGAGAAGTGATGACTAAGACTACATCCCCCAAAACCGGAAAGAGGATTACCCCTTGACAAATGTGAAACCTGCTAGGAGTTTCCCAGCAGATCACAAGGGAGGCATTTGGGGATTGGCCTCTGTCCCTGCTGTGTGGGAGGAAGGGCTGGCCCTCAGCCTCCCAACAGAGAGGGCCAAGACCGACCTTGCTCACGTCCACGTAACCTTGAGCTATGGCAGATGACTGTGAAACAGACTGAGGCCAAAAGAGAACAGGTGGATGGAGCTCACAGGTTAGACTTGTTCCTGCTCTTACTCTAGAGCAGAGGGATAGTTTTCTAGAATGTTGGAAGTGAGTTGAGAGCTCACCTCTTGAATGTTTAACAGTGTACTCTTCTGAAAACTGCTTATTCACCTTGTGTGGTTTCAGAATACTGGGCTCAGTACTACTATAAGAAAGAAACTTAATTGAGAAATTCTTAAGCTTACAGAAAACCTGTATTTTTTGCACATTTCATGTAACATTAGCAAAATGCAGTCCCTTCCACATTTCTGTCGCTTTTTCCATTAGAAAATTTACTTAGGAAAATTAATTCCCATTTATTCCTACAAAATTTTAGTACTGCTTGACTTTACCCAATGGGGAATGTGCTTTGAATTTTTGGAACACTTGCAGAATTAAAATAAAATAGAGTGGAATCATTTTTTAATTTGTTTCATCAGAAACAAAATTTTAAAGAGAAGGTTGAATATATATATATTTTTTTTTTCTTTTATGTTTTCTGGGAATTTTTTGTTCAAACCAATACTCAAAAACCAGATGACCTGTCCACAAATGGTGACGTGTCTTCATCTTCTCAGAGGCCCTGTGCCCGTGTGTGTGTTGTCAGTGGGGTACACTCTTGGGGATTCTGTACCACTCTGATGGCTATCTAATGTTCAGCCCCTCAAGAGCCTGAACTTCGGTCCCTAAATTGTCAGGAACACTTACTTGACTTCCCTGTGTCAAACTACTGGTCAGCTATTTGACAAAGTTTAGAGCTCAGGTCTTTGATTTGAAGTGGGAAGCATAGTGGCTTATACAAAGCATAGGTGCTGTTAGAAAAATGGGAACAATGGTGTGTTGCCACCTTATTTTTATATGGAAAGTTTTCAAAAATGAAGAAAAAGTGGAAAAATCGAAGATGATAATGTTGGGTGATGGAAAATATCTTTCTACTCAGACAACAGAACCTTTGGGTTATACAATAGTGATATTGTCTAAAAATGAAAGTTATTTTGGGTATATACCACTTTAATACTATAGTCTTATAAAAATTGTTCATTATATGTGAACCCCTTTCTTGTCTTCTATTTTGTTTCTCACCCTACTTATTGGAAACACCTCAAAACCTAGTTCTGAAAAGACTGCACCAAAAGTAAATGTGTTTACTTTTTAGTCAGCAGAACTCTGAAATTCCAGATGTTCTTTTATGTGGTACAGTTATTTTTAGAGACCATTAGGTTGTGTTGAAAACCTTTAATATAGGCTATGTCAAAACCGATTCTTCTTTTTTGCAGTCTCTTTTAATTCATGTCCTTCTACAGTTGCTCTGCATCAAAACAGAGGGTAAAAAGGCCATAGCCCGTTTACCAAATATATGATACAAAACTCTTCTGACCTACAAGATAATTTCAGACATTGTGTTGTCTCAGTAGGCTGTCAGTTGTTGAGAGCCAGTCCTCTGTCTGCAGGTGAGTGTAATCTGCTTCCCGTGACTTTAGCCAGAGGGGTGCTCTCCAGCACAGAGACTGGCCTCGCAGGGTTCTCAGGGCTCCGTGTGTACCTCTCATTTAATGGAGAAGTTTAAGAGGATTCTGAAAGAAGAACAGTCCTAATCATGGGAGCAGTTCTGGAGTCCCAGGGAAAAGAAAACAATGTGTCTTGGCAGCCGTGGTATTCTTTTATTATCCAGATGGATTGGAAATATATTTGGAAGTCTGAGTGTTGGTCTGACATAAAGCTACAGTGCTACTACAGAGTCAAGTCATTGAGTTGGCTCCTGATACAGGTGAGGGCTTTGTTATCCTACTGTAGAGGTAGGTGTACAGTAAATGGGCGGAGTCATTCACTGGTGTGCGCAAGAGCCGACAGGAGCAGCTTGGTAATCCCGGGTGCTATTCCAGTCGCTTACAGCCAGTGCTGTTCTCCAGGAGATGGAGCCAGGTAGGCTCGGCCGATCTACTGAATATCCAATCATGCTCTTTCCACGTTCAGCGGAAGCAGGTACTTGGAAGCCACAGGCTCACCTTCTATCTATTCAATAATTATTAATGAAGAGACCTCCATAAGGGAGCACTTGGCTATCACCGATACATGTACCAATTACTAAATAATTAGTCTCCAAGCCATTCAGTGATGTCTGCAGCATCACTCTAGAACTGTCTCGTGTCACTTTTTACTTCCCTCTGGTGGAGCCCTTCAGACTCCCCGGTCATGGAGGCAAGTTAATATTTCTCTCCAGTTAGTGACTTTTGCCCCATAGTTGGGTAAGCACTTCCTAGATCGAGAAAAGCAGCTACACTAAATCCTGCTGTTTCCCTCATCTGGTGATCAATCATACATACGCTCTTCGTACTCTAAATTTCATGCCCTTCTCCCAGACGCTGTAGGGGTTTCTCTCACTGTTGCCACTGGATGTCATCCAGACAGTGGGTTCCTATCTTATGGTTTGTGCAATCATTGTCGTATTGTAGTCCTAAGACTCATTATAGTGTATTTTTGATATTTTTGAAATGTGTTAAATTTTTTAATTCAATAATATGAGCCAGAGCATGTTGCAGCAAATCTATTGTTTGTAAAAAATAACAACAATAATAAATAAAATAAAATGGAATTATCTTTTTCATGGCTTTGTTTTAAAATGGAATGCCTGTTGTTTTATAAATATTTTAGCAGGAAGCTATAATTTGCTATCCTAACTTATATGTAGAATTAGGTTCTTAACTGAAGGCACCTTTAGGATTTTTCTGCTTTCGTTTTAGGGGAAGAGAAGCAAGAACAAACACATGAATCCATGTTCCATGATATTCCACAGAGCTATGAGTTAAGGCAAGAATTAAATATTTTTGGTCATCTTTATAGCCGAATTAGCAATAAAGAATTTTTACTTTAAGAAATATTCTGATGTGGTTTGTATGTTTAAAGAAATCCCAAACACAGGAAACACGGCCTTTATTTACATGCAAGTTATTAGCTAACTAGAGGAAACTGAGTTGTGAAAAATCTACAGCTCTTCTTAAGTAAATCATAGAGCTGATGACAGAGAGGAGGTTGGTGGATATGCTGGCCATCATGTTTGTCATAAGGGGATGGCTTTGGTGTAAGAAGGACCTCTGGACACAGTGCTGCGTGTTGGCTCACAAGATACAGCTGGGATCCAGTTGAGCCTCTGAGTTGTTGCCTACCCTCTCCCACCATTGGCCACCTCTCACTCCAACTAAAGGCCAAGCAAGATAAAGCCACTTTGCAGGTTTCCCCTTCATCTAGCAGAATGAACATTTTAAAAACTTAGTTCAGAAACGGTTACTGAGCTCCTTCCATGTGGTGGGCATCTGCCACTGTTGACCTTAATACCTCAGTTCCATGAGACACCTCTCTGACCCAGGGTGGCAGAGATGACATTCTCGTGTGTTCTCTGCTTCATGCAATGTTAATTCCCTGGCATGCCAAGGCCACAAGTCACTCAACATGTTACAGTGTGTGATTCAACGGGTATGCATTTTGCCTCTGCTACTTTAAAAAGCGTATGACTTCAGGCAAGTTACGTGGCCTTTCTGAGGCCATTTACTTCATTTTTTACAAGGAAATTATAGTATCTGTGGTCAGTCAGGTGGTGGTGAGCCTATATGAGGCGATGAGAACAAAGTGCTTTTTAGGCGCAGCTCTGTACGATCTTGGCACGTAGTTCACCTTCATCGCAATATTAACGGGTAAACCACCTACCCTTGAACCTTGTCTCCTCTTCTATAAATTGTGAGTAATACATCTTGGCCTGCCTAGCTGCCCAGTGGTAGTGACAAAGATAAGGCTCACTGAAAGCATTTTTTTTTTTTTTTTTTGAGACAGAGTCTTGCTTTGTTGCCCAGGCTAGAGTGAGTGCCGTGGCGTCAGCCTAGCTCACAGCAACCTCAAACTCCTGGGCTCAAGCAATCCTGCTGCCTCAGCCTCCCGAGTAGCTGGGACTACAGGCATGCGCCACCATGCCTGGCTAATTTTAAATATATATTAGTTGGCCAATTAATTTCTTTCTATTTATAGTAGAGACGGGGTCTCGCTCTTGCTTAGGCTGGTTTCGAACTCCTGACCTCGAGCAATCCGCCCGCCTCAGCCTCCCAGAGTGCTAGGATTACAGGCGTGAGCCACCACGCCCGGCACTGAAAGCATTTTGAACCTTATAAAACTGCACAGGCGCGTGGGAGTGTGACCAGTCACTGATGGCTCCAGTCACCTGGGAGGGGCTGCCTCTCCCGAGCAGTATGGTAGCTGGGCTTGGGCACAAAGTTGGGGGCGGGTGGGCCAAAGTCCCCACTTTATCAACAACAAGACCCAGACATGTGCAAAGATCCAACAGACACGTTCCGGGGGAAAAATGCCAGGTGAGAATAGTGTGTACGGGGGAAGTATTTTCTCGGGGAAGTGGGTGGCGAGTGGGTTGTTTGGTTTTCAGTGCTGTTAAACTTAACTATGGCTCAGCGATAACTGGGGGCTTCTAGCCACTGCCCCAGGCTGAGGGAGATGGGGTGGCAGCACCTTTCAGTGGCACCACAAACTTTTTATTTTAACAGCAATGTAGATTTCTGGTTAATTATTTTCCTCCAAGCTTTATTTATTTATTTTTAATAAAAATGTAATCTAGATATTGTCGCATCTCTATATGAGGTTTAGTTTTGGTCCTTCATTTTGGATAGGTTCCATAAGAATTCCCTATTAAAAACCAAGAGGACAATTAGACTATATAATGAGACTTTATATTTCTAGTTGCAGCTGACATGAACTGATATATTTGAGACTTTATAAAACACTTCACCAGCCTGGGCAATGTAGCAAGACCCCATCTCTATAAAAAAAATTTTTTTTAATTAGCTGGACGTGGTGGCACATACCTGTGGTAGTTCCAGCTCCTTGGGAGGCTGACATGGGTGGACCACGTGAGCCCTGGAATTCCAGGTTACAGTGAGCTATGACTGTGCCACTATACTGCAGCCTGCGTGACAAAATGAGAACCTGACTCTTAAAAAAAAAAAACAAACCCACACCAGATTGAAATTAACAAAAAACTTTTATTTTTAAGATTCAGTGGTAGTGATCTGTTAACATTATGGAGAAAGTTCAGGGTAATGAGAGAGTACTATGTATTTGAAGGCCCCTTCTGTGTAGCACTGTCAGGGAACTCAGAAGTGAAAAAGCCTCCAATAAGCCTTCGTAGTTTAGTAAAATTAACTGCTTTATCTTTGAAATCAGTTGAATAACGTGTGTAAGTTTAGGGGCTGGGCGCCGTGGCTGATGCCTGTAATCCTAGCACTCTGGGAGGCTGAGGCGGGAGGATTGCTCGAGGTCAGGAGTTCGAAACCAGCCTGAGCAAAAGCAAGACCCTGTCTCTACTATAAATAGAAATTAATTGGCCAACTAATATATATAGAAAAAATTAGCCGGGCATGGTGGTGCATGCCTGTAGTCCCAGCTACTCGGGAGGCTGAGACAGGATCGCTTGAGCCCAGGAGTTTGAGGTTGCTGTGAGCTAGGCTGACACCATGGCACTCACTCTATCCTGGGCAACAAAGCGAGACTCTGTCTCAATAAAAAAAAAAAAAAAAAGTTTAGGGATTTTCTCACTATTTGAAATCTTCATGTTTAGAAAAACGATAAAACATTTCAGGAAAGTGAATTCCAATTGACCAATTTGCCACAAAAAAACCCCAAAAACTAATTTGGAATAGCTGGTAGGAAACATTTCCTCAGGAACCTAAGGCAGGAGCCTTGGGGGAAAACATGCTCACTAAAAACATTTCTTCTCTCATATCTGGAATCCAACCTCCCATCTGCAGTGGGAGAAGGCTGCATGGCCTCCTCTCTCTTAGCAGAATACCTTGCCGCTAGGAGAGCGCATCTGAACGTAATTACAACTATTTAGACAATTCTAAATACAATTATTTAGAATTCAATCACACAATTGCTTTAAAATCATTCCCCTGGGACAAAATGCAGGGGGATTGCGTGGGGTGGGAATGGCATGTTTCTTTTGATGACATTACATAGTTCTGACAGGTAAGATAGTTCTACTGTACCATGTGACCAGCAAAGCCTCTGACCTGTGGTTCTCATCTCTCAGAATTTCTCTGGCTAGTTAGCCGTTGCCACTGTGACCTCGGTTGCCACTGTGACCTCGCCATACGCTGAAAGCCTCACCGTAAGGGGGTTCCCAGATGCCTGATGCTGCACTTTGTAGCAAAGGTGATGTTTTTTTTCAAACTCTCTATCAAATCAGCCAAAAGAGACTTATTTGATCTCCTTTTACAATAGAAAAAAATGAGTCAATTATTTAATGTTGCATTGATCCAAAGGGAGTATTTCTAAAATCAAGTATGTGAAGACCCCAGTCGAGGTCTCCTGTGTGGTTTTAAAGGCCCTGTCTTTTTGGGAGAAACAACGGGGGTGGGTTGGCATTGAGGTTCCAGAAGACCATCTCAGCCCGTTCAAGACCACAGGTATTCTGGTGCATCACCGTCACTTCTGGGCTGTCCCCGGCTGTCTCTGTAGTGCTTCTGTTCTCGGTAGCTGCGCAGGGCCAGCACCACGCTGACACAGTACATAATCACCAGCAGACAAGCGAAGGTGGCTGCCGCGCCGTCCGTGCCCGCCAGCTGGCAGTTCATCCAGGTGAGACCCCTGCGGGCGTAGAGCCGCTCTCTGGTTTTGCAGGTGTCGGTGGAATTGATCTGCAAGGCCGCGTGCAGGTAAACGCCAATGCCCACGCAGTAGCCCACGGCCGCCAGGAGGCTGAAGGCGGCCTCTGTGAGGAGCCACTTCCCCGACAGTTTTGCTAGTCTTTTGGCTCCTTGGAGCAGGACGCCCATGGTGAGGACACCCAGCCCCAGAGCGACGGCCACGCCGCCGTATATCAGGGGCGACCGCAGGACCGTGTACTGCTGGTCCAGCTGCCGCACCTGCTCCAGCTCCGTGCCCTCAAACGGTGAGTAATAGTTGTTCCCAAAGCCGCCGCCGCTGGTGAGGATGGCGCTGAATCCGGCAAGGACAAAGTAGGAGGCCACGATGCACATGAGAACCATCGCGTTCAGTATCACCTCCACTATCTGCACCACACCTAGGAGAGAGAGCCGGCATTTAACGTCACTTGCCCAGGTCAGACTAGAGAGCTGCCACTAGTGACCTGATTTTAAAAACACTGTCAGGCCAGCGAAGTGGCTCACGCCTGTAATCCTAGCACTCTGGGAGGCCGAGGCGGGAGGATCGCTTGAGCCCAGGAGATTGAGGTTGCTGTGAGCTAGGCTGACACCATGGCACTCATTCTAGCCTGGGCAACAAAGTGAAACTCTGTCTCAAAAAAATAAAGTAAATAAAATAAATAAATAACTAAATAAAATAAAAACATTGTCAGATTGAACAGGAACATTCTTGATTTCTTTTTTGTTGTTTTGTTTTGTTTTTTATATATTTTTGAAAACTCAAAATGCCACTTTGGAAAAACTTTTGGCAGATTCTTAAAAACTAAGCAGACACTTACCATATGACCCTGCAATTGTATTCCTGGGTATTTGTCTCAAAGAAATTAAAATTTACATCCACACCAAAAATATGTACATGAATATTCACTGTAACTTTATTTATGAAAGCCAAATGTTGGGAAAAACCCAGATATCCTCCAGCAGGTGAATGGTTAAACTGGTACACCGGCACCATGGAATATTCGATTAGTAATGAAAGGAATGAACCATTGATTGGTACATGCAACAACTTGGATGGATCTTGAGGGAGCTATGATGAGTGAAAAAGAACCAATCTCAAAAAGTTACATAATGTAGGAGTCTGTTTCTGTAACAGTCTCAGAGGGACAGAGTTATAGAGATGGAGCACAGATCGGGGGACACTGGGGGCAAGAGATGAGGTGGGGGAGGGGAACAGGGATGGGTGCTACCGTAAAGGGTTAGTACAGGGATATCCAGGATGATGGGACAGTTGTAGATTTGATTGTGGTGCTGCTCACACAAATCTACACACGAGATAAAACTGCATAGAACCACACACACACACACACACACACACACACAAATGAGTACATGTAACTGGCAAAATCTAAATAAGCTCTATACATTGTCACTTTGCCGGTTTTGCTACTGTGCTATAGTAACGCAGGATGTTATCACTGGAGAAAACTGGGGTAAGGGTACACGGGATTTCTCTGTACTATTTTTGGGACTTCTTGGGAATCTAGATTTCAAAATGAAAAGTTTTTTAAAAATTGCAATGACATAAGGTCTAATCTGAGAATTTTCACTCATGTCCCCTCTGTTCTCCTTCCCCAGCTACTTTCACTGGTTTCTTTTTTTTTTTTTTTGAGACAGAGTCTTGCTTGGTTGCCCAGGCTAGAGTGAGTGCCGTGGCGTCAGCCTAGCTCACAGCAACCTCAAACTCCTGGGCTCAAGCGATCCTGTCTCATCCTCCCGAGTAGCTGGGACTACAGGCATGCACCACCATGCCCAGCTAATTTTTTCTATATATATGAGTTGGTCAATTAATTTCTTTTTATTTATAGTAGAGACGGGGTCTCGCTCTTGCTCAGGCTGGTTTCGAACTCCTGACCTGGAGCAATCTGACCACCTGGGCCTCCCAGAGTGCTAGGATTACAGGCGTGAGCCACCGCGCCTGGCCTTGACTGGTTTCTAATATCACTTTCCAGTGTTCCTTTATGCACATTCAATTCTGCATTTCATCCCCCTTCCGTGTCTTTGTCGCAAAAGTAAGTGTACCACGTACACTGTTCTACATCTTGATTTTGTCATTTACTATGTCCTAGAGATGTTTTCAGATCAGTTCCTACAGCTCCATTGTACGGATGGACCAGTCTATTCACCCAGGATCTGCCGACGGATACTTGGGCTGTTCACTTGGGAGTTTCTTACAAGTTCAAGGACCCCAAAAATGCCACAAGGCAGTGGGAGCCAACCGGTTAACAGAGAGTGAATATCTTCTTGAATATCTGACCTTGGGGCCAGCTTTTATTTATTACAGACAGAGGTCCCAGACTCTTCTCAGATGTACTTGGGGGAGAGAGGCTCCTGCCATCCCCTCAGGGCTCAGAGATGACAAGGAAGAGAAAAGCAAACAAACCTGCTCTCTATTGCGTGTGACCCTGCCCAGGTCATCCAGTCTAACTCTCGGACACTTATCGACGGATGAAGATAACACCAGCCCGTCTTAGCCCACACGCTGTGCTGAGGCTCAGATGAAAGCAAGTATATGAAAATACTTTGAAAAATCATAAAATGTTATACAACAAATGGATGGTGACGCTACTCAGGAACGTTATTAACAAATGGAGGGGGATTAGTGAGAAGCTGAAGAAAGGGGATGAATTTAGGAAAGGAGTGAGTTCCCAGGAATCGAGACAGTTCCTCTAATATACTAGGACACAGTTCAAGACCAGTGTCCCTAAAGTGCGTAGGCAACAGCTACTGTGTTCCCTGATCCTATCTCCTGCCCGGCCCACACAAATTCCGTGCAGTCATCGGGGACGCAGCGGGCAAGGGCTCTGCTAGTTGAGAAGCTACATTCCTCTAATCTAAAACTGAAAATAGGCCTGGCGCGGTGGCTCACGCCTGTAATCCTAGCCCTCTGGGAGGCCGAGGCGGGTGGATTACTCGAGGTCAGGAGTTCGAAACCAGCCTGAGCAAGAGCGAGACCCTGTCTCTACTATAAATAGAAAGAAATTAATTGGCCAACTAATATATATAGAAAAAATGAGCCGGGCATGGTGGCACATGCCTGTAGTCCCAGCTACTTGGGAGGCTGAGGCAGTAGGATTGCTTGAGCCCAGGAGATTGAGGTTGCTGTGAGCTAGGCTAATGCCACGGCACTCACTCTAGCCTAGGCAACAAAGCGAGACTCTGTCTCAAAAAAAAATTTAAAAAAACCTGAAAATAACATCAGACCCAAACTGCCCACTCTTCACCCAGGCAACTGGTTTACACTCTCTCCCTACAGCAGAGCGAGTGAATTGACTAACCCAGACATTGTTCTAATTCGTTGGGGGTGGCTAGCTTCCCTCCCCCAGCACCTTCTCTGCCTTGTTTTCCTTGTGCACGCACGTGCGTATCCCGGCCTCTGCAGGGAATACTGCACTAAAGACACAGAAAGCAGAACGTTTTCCCTGGGATGGGTGTGCCACGCATAGAGCACATAGGCTGCAATGGGACACATCTAGACCCTGTCAACCACCCACTGACTGCGACAACTGAGAGAAGTAATGGTCGTCTGCTGCGTCCAGTGGTGTTGGTTCTGTTGACGGAGTGTTATTCCAGGAACCGGCCGGGCCTGACCTGGCTTAGCTGTCAATATCAAACAAGCTCACGTATTTCCAAGCGTGTTGTCAGAGAAGAAAGACACGCACATGCATCAGGGCAAGAGAAAAAGGGTGACAACTAGAGCTAGCAGTGCTTTGTCTCTGGGTGGGGTAGAGCAAGTCTCCAGAAAGAGAGCAGATGGCTTGAGAGAGGGGAATGAAGCCCCCCAAACAGACAGGAGATCTTTGTTGCCAATAGCATCGATCTGGGTGAAGCTGTTTGGGGGGCTGATTATTTAATACTCTGCTTAATTATACATCTACTTCTGCCTTTGAACTGTAAATGTGGTCCAGAAAAAAAGTCAATTTTATTTTTATTTTTCTAAAATAAAATGAACACATGTGCAGTCAAGCCACGCATAAAGGGAAAATTAGGCCAGGCTGGGTGGCTCTTGCCTGTAATCCTAGCACTCTGGGAGGCCGAGGTGGGAGGATCACTTGTGCTCAGGAGTTCGAAACCAGCCTCAGCAAGAGCGAGATCCTGTCTCTACTAAAAATAGAAAAAATTAGCTGAGTGTGGCACACGTCTGTAGTCTCAGCTGCTCAGGAGGCTGAGGCAGGAGGATCACTTGAGCCCAGGAGTTTGAGGTTGCAGTGAACTATGATGATGCCACTGCATTCTACCCAGGGTGACAGAGCAAGACTCTGTCTCAAAAACAAACAACAACCAAAACCAAAAACCAAAACAACAAAAAAAGTGAAAAATTAAAATCCTTTTCTCTCTAGAAGCAAAACTGTTAAACCTTTATGTATCCATCAAGAAATTTTCTGATTATATACAAGCATATATATGTAATTCCTTTTCTAAACCCAAATGGAACTCACCTTTTAAATGCAACAAATTGTCTGTATTTAAGGGAATAATATAAATGTATTGTAAAGGGAACCATCATCTCTCATCTCCAAATTAAAATTGTTCTTTCCATGTTTTATTGGATTCACATAAAACAAACAACATTCACTTGTATGCGAAATATACTGTAACTTTCCATTAAGTCATAATTTAATATGCAGTGGGAACCCATAAAGTTGTCTGGCCAAAACTGCCATCCCCAGCAGAAGCTGGGAGAGATTTTACATTGTTTTATTCTGGATGGATCCTGAATTCCAGATGTTGGGGTTAATTCTTTATACAATGGTACATTTACAAGAGGTACAAAACACTTATTGAGCTTTCCGGGCCACACTGTCAGGGGCTTGCAGAATAGCTTCTTTGCAACCCAGAGAATTAATCTGATTCCTCTTTCCTCTGCCCACGCCTACCTTCTATTTAAATTTTACAGGAGTAGTCCCCCGCCCCCAGAATCCCCATGCCCTCTGTCCCAGATTTAATGAGGTAGAAGGAATGGAGAGTTCAGTGTGGAAAAACTTGTGGGCTAATCTGCTTAAGGCAGCCGTGCTTAGAAAAGTACAGGCTGGGCCAGGCGAGGTGGCTCATGCCTATAATCCTAGCACTCTGGGAGGCCGAGGTGGGTGGGTTGCTCGAAGTCAGGAGTTCGAAACCAGCCTGAGCAAGAGCAAGACCCCGTCTCTACTATAAATAGAAAGAAATTAATTGGCCAACTAATATATATATAGAAAAAATTAGCCGAGCATGGTGGCGCATGCCTGTAGTCCCAGCTACTCGGGAGGCTAAGGCAGAAGGATCCCTTGAGCCCAGGAGTTTGAGGTTGTTGTGAGCTAGGCTGATGCCATGGCACTCACTCTACAACAAAGCAAGACTCTGTCTCAAAAAAAAGAAAAGT